AAAAAAAAAGAGGCAAGCCTAGAAACCACATAAGGACAAAAGAGCCAAGAGACAGAGATGAACATTTGTAAGACAGAGTAAGAAAACTGGGAAAGAGAGTAAATGGAAATACTGACAATTGGAAGGAACCAGGTAGGTTAAGTTTCTATTTGTCAGAAATGACAGATCAAGCAGTTAGATATTTTTCCTAAAATCAAGCCTCTCCTACAGTCTTCTGTAGGAAACAGAAGTTTTCATCATCACGTGATTATAATTAGAGACATGAAATATGTAACAGATACCCATGTAGGGCCTCCCTGGTGGTACAAGAGTTAAATAAACCATCAATGAGATCAAGCTATCACCAGTCACTGTGGTCCCAGTCAGGCTGGTGACCCACATGGTGCAGCAGACCTCTTCTGTCTCCTCTGCTTCTCCCCTCAGCAGTATATGTCTGTAGATCCACCTGTTCTGCTCCCTAGTTTTTCTCTGATGAATCCTCTCACCCTCTGTACCTCTGGCCTATTTTGTATACATAAATAAAAAAAGAAAATTAAAAAAAAAAAGCCCATGCATTTTCCATGTCAGTCAAAATTCAGAGGCACATTATGTTCTGGAGATTGTTACATTTGCTTAGGAGACAGGATTATATGCAAAATAGTCTTAGAGCATATTTTAAAAAATGCCATGGCATTGTGGAAACCAGCTCATGACCTTTAGGTGGCAGCAGGAGCAAAGAAAAGTATTCTAAAATTTCCATAAATAAAGGCTTGATGCATTAGAAAAGAGCAAGACAGCTGTTTATGCCTGTATGCAGAAAATGCTGGAGAAACATCACCAAGAGAAGCAGGAGGTACCCTGGTAAAATGTAGGAGTCAAGGTTTACCTGGGGCCACACTGCAGCACAGAACACGGCATCAATTTCTTCTGTTGTGAACTGGTGAGATTCCCAATCCAGAAAGATATCAGATATCATTTTAATTCCAAGACGTCTTAAGTTTTTCAATGGGTTAATAAATCTTAGTTGTATCTGTAAAATATATATCCTTTATTAAGAAATAGCTAATTTTTACCCTTGGCTCTGTAAGAAGGCACTTTTGCTTGGCTGGCTAAGAATCAAGCTGGAAATCCTGTTATGAAGTCTGTTGACTTTGGCTGTGATTTTTACCTGGGAATGTCAATTGAGCAGGTCAAGAAAGTAGAGACTTAATAAAATCAAAATGTAAGGCGTTCCACTGTCACTGCCCAGTTAGATTACATGAGATGGCATTAGGAAAAGACAAAATCACAATGGGAACAGCTGCCTTGTTCTACATTGTTTTTATATTTTCAAGCAAGTAATTGTCTCATAAAAATCTGATTTTTTTCCCCCAGACACAGAACATTCTAAACAAACTCTTTTTTTTTTTTTTGGCTATCATGCCTTAGATTAGAAAAAAATGAAACCTTTAGTTCAAGGAAAGTCACTTTCCTTTTTGTCTTCATATTGTATTATTGCCACTTCCATTAAAAAAAAAAGAAGAAAAAAAGAAAACTAGGAGCTTTCTTTTATTCTTGGTAAATTTAGTCTAGGAGCCCAGTTAAAGAATATATGGTCTCTCCATATAGAGGGATACCGTGTGCACTGAAAAGCAACCGAGTGCTCTCCCTGGTGGTGCAGTGGGTTAGAGCACAGTACTACAAAGCTAACGCCACCAACATGAGTTTCATCCCTGCCCCAGATGTGATCTGCATGGTGCGGCAGACCTCTCCTGACCCACCCGCTGCTCCCCTTAGCAATGTACTTCGTCAATCTGCCTGTTCTGCTCCCAACTCTGTCTCTGATGAATCCTCTCACTGCCCCTGAACTCCTGCTCATACCCCAGTTCTGTGTGTATAAATAAATAAATCTTAAAAAAGAAAGAACAAAAGGCAACTGAATAACAACCTGAAGAGATCTCAAAATATATACTTAAGGAAAAATACTATTTAGAAAAGCATACAATTTGTTTAAAGGCTGAGGCTGGAGTGGGTGGTTATCTGAGTCAATAGCAAAGCTCTTTCATAAAGCTATCCCTACTTCCACTATAATCTCCTTCCCTATATGTTATAAAATAATAAATATGCAACCAATTTCTTTTAGTTCAAAGTAAAACAATTTAATGAGCCCCTATCAATGGGTCAAAAGGCATGGTAGCTATAGACTTTGTTGCTGAAGGAAAATTTCTTAAATAGCTGAGAGACTAAGAATGTTAAAGACACTCAACAGAAGAACAATGCTATAAATGTGAGAAGGGTAAAGTTCATGGAATGGTCATAATCTCTACTGATTCTTAAAGCATATGAGGTTTAGGTAAGACAAAAGAGAGAGAAAGGCCTCAGAGAAATTTCTCCCAGCATAGAAAGTTGTAAAAATCAAGCACACTAGGGGGAGATACACCCCTTGTTTTTCCACTCGATATACTATGGACTCTGGATAAGTAAGTGGCAACTTTTATCTCTTTGTCTCTCTTAAATTACCTACATGTTAATCTGAAGTCCACCCTGAAATTTATGAGGACAACATAAAGGATGTTAGTTATTTGTGCAAAGTCTCAGGAATCTTGGTACTTCATGCACCCACCAAGTTGCTACCATCCACTTCTGGCCAATTATCTCATTATACAAGCTAAAGACAAGTGACAGCAAGCTCTAGAAGTGACACAGGTACATCTGCTTCACTCCTACTGGCAATGTTTTCATGATAAGCTGCAGCATGCTGGTGAACTATCACTGATATTTGGAGAAAAAAAAAAGGTGTCATGATTCCCCAGAGCAAAGAAAAAACTAACCTTAGCAAGGTACTATCAAAACCGACACCCCCACCCTCTTCTCCATTCCTATCAGGCCTCTTGCCTAAGTAGGATCTGCAAATTTGTTTTTTTTTTTCTAAGGATCTGCGTGTTCTATTCATTCTGCAACTACAGTGCCAGTTGCACAGTTTACTCCTTAACTGTTTAACAGACTGGAGAAAAAGCCTGGAAGTGAGCAATTGTAGATTTTAGTTCCTAGAGGAAACATACACGTGATTGAGATTATATACCTCTAATGTTTTAATGTTTATGTATGTATCTCCTTAATTGCTTAAATGTACAAAAAAAAAAAAAAAACAAAAACAACCATAACACCAGGCCAAAACAACCCTCACAATATAGATTTCAGTGTCAGTTTAAGTATCTGAAAGATACAAAAAAGTAAATGTGTAACTTAGTTCAAACACATAAATGTAGAACTTTAACTCACTTAAGCAGTATTACTGTGCAATAATTCATTCATGCTGTACAGCACTTCAACAAATTCTTTGGACTTGTCCAAGAATTAAAAAGAAAAAAAAAATGGTTTAACACCTCACTACCTAATGAACTGTGAAATTGTATAAATGATCCTTTGAGTTACTGATTGTTGATTCTGAGGTAAGTCATTATTACTCAGTAATTTCTAAGTTAGCCAAAAAAGAGGACTTGCAGAGGGGCTTATAAAACCTGTACTTTTCATGACTCAGTATGTCCATGTATACACAAAGTCACATTACTCATTACAAGTCATAAACTCAAATTCTCACACAATTCTCACTATGGCTGTGAAGCGTTCATAGAGAAAGAATTTTTCAAAACCTCTTTTCAGCTACCACTCTTGCCCCATAAAGCAAAGTGACTTTTTTTTTTAAACAGCAAACAGACCTTATCACACCCCTGTTAACCTCTCTGAGGTTTCCTAGTACACTTCAAAGTAGATCTAGCTGCTCTCCACAGCCCCCACTTCCCTCTTAACCTTATCTTATATGATTCTTCCTACTTCTTGAGGTTGAGCCTCCTTGACCGTCTGTCTGCACTGAGACTGTGTCAAGTCTTTGCCCCGCTCAGAGACATGGTACATCTAGGCATCTGTCGCTGCCTGAAATGTCCTTTCAGTGGCTGGGTAGGCATAAGCCTGAATAGCACCTCCTCAGAGAGGAACCCCACACCCTAGTAAAGCAGCACCCTCCCACCCCCACTCCAGTCACTTCCTATCACATTCCCTTAAAGAAATTGTTTACGCTGACCTAGCTCTACTTAACATGCTCACACTTCCCTCTAATTTAGTGAATATATGGAATAGTGGAGGGTTAATTAATATTTGTTGAAGAAAGGAAAGCATGAAGAAAACAAAATTGTGCCTACTAAAATGGAAGTTGTATTCTAAATCTCTGGATCTTGTTAATCAGAGAATATCATTTCATTATTAACGCAGATTTATATCCAAATAGAAAGAAGTAGCAAAAAATCCTGGCTGTTTTCAGTTGTCATGACCAGATTTGAGGCAGTCCATCTGATAGATCTATCAATGAGTGAATTAATTTTAGTTAAATTAAAACTTTGTCCATTCCTGAGATTATACATAATTGAGAATAAACAGCAGACCTGGGTCTGGATCTTTATTTCAAGTCCCATTTTCTATAAGGACTTCAGTCCAAAAAGACATTGTTTCCTAAATCACAAAAACATTAAGTCATATTCCCAGATCCGTTTTAAAAGAATATATGCTGTCTTGGATGGAATTAAGACATAACATCAAGTCATGGGGTGTCAGGGTTAACGTTGTCTTACCCAATCTTGTTGCATATCTATTCAAGACTGTGCACTGATGGTGGGCAAGCTTTTTGTTTTAAAAGAACTCTGGACAATCTACCTCAAAATAAGAAGGAGGGTGGTAGCAGTGGTCTATTCATTCTCTGATCATTCTGGATAAACAAGAGTTGGAAGATGTCCCACACCTGTACACTCCAAATTAAAACCTATTCGCTGACTAGTTTCTGAGGCTATAAACAGAACAAATATATCCCCTACCATTTTGCCTCCTTTTAAAATATACACTTGACATAATTCATGTTTTCTAGCTATAACAGACACTTACAGCAATGAAGATTCTCATTACATAGAAAACTGCTTTAAAGAGACATTTTTCACAGGTTTTTAAAGAAAGATTCAACATGAAAGAATGTTAGATGTTCAGGCCTCAACCCACTTCCCAAGAACAAGACTCCCATTCTCCCAAGAAAAGCGCATCTCCAGTGCATCTCTCACCTTTTCCCTTTGGTCAAGGATCTGTGACACAGTCGCTGTCATGCACAGCAGTATCTGCAAAATCTTTGGTAAGTAGGCACTGATCAGATGACTAATATTCTTCAATACTATTTCAAGGCTATTTAAGACACCGTGCTGACGCCCTAAGGGAAGAACTCTAGACAAATCCAAACCTTCTACAGCTTGAATGACTGCAGAATGACATTCTCCTGGTGAGACAGAGAGGAACAGAGATAGTATGTTACCTTTTATGATTATAGCTGACTTTCAATTTCTCTCAACAACACAGCAATTTCTTTTGTTACAATGATTTATAGATGCTAATGCACTTTATTTTATGTTTATATGTTTTCCCACTTTTTTATTCTTACCAAATATCCAATGTTCCAGGTGTGGTCAGTTTTACTATCGTCACTTTATAAGAGGAAGAAACTGAGGACAAAGGTAAGAAACTTCTGAAAGAAGTCTCTAAACCTAACTCTGATCTTATTTATACTGGTGGTCAAAATCTGAGTTACTAATAGACTTTTATTCCCCCAAGCAAAGTTCCATACATTTTTTTCTCACTCTCACCTTTCATTGAACTATACTGAGCTCAGCAGCTGCATTAAAAAAGGCCTATTATATAATAAGCTCCCTGAAGGCTGAGAATCAAATGTTCTATTTCTCTTGTAGCCCTGGTGAATAAATAAAACAATAGCTCCTTATAAATAGCTGCCATAATGATTTCAGAATTTACTTGAAAGATTTGGATTATTACTGTTTGAACTTCACTTCAAACCAACATGAGGTCATGAGTGTCCTGACTCATACATCCAAATGGTGCATCTACAAGTATTGTTTATAGTCACCCTCTCACAGTGGAGGTTATTACATTGAACAAAAAGTTTTGTGTTCTTTAGAGCCAACTTCCTTCACAGGATGATGTTACACTGAATGAAACTCTTTTAAAGAACAGGACCCCTTATCGTAGAAAAAATATACACAAATGTAATACAGTACCCTATAAATGTGTACTTTTGCCTAATGCAATTATAGAACTGGAACAGAAGTTTGGTAACCCAGTCAGAAAGATCTGGGTTCTCATCCAATATCCACCATTTTATAGTTGAGTGGCCACGGACAAAATACTTACCTCATTTGAAAATGAGGACAGTCAAGTAATGTGGTTGTTTCTAAGGGTCAACTTAGTTGTATATAAAGGAACCCATGTCTCACATAAAGTAAGCACTCAATAAAGGTCAGCCATTATTAGTAGTAGTAATTGCTAACACTACATGCCAGAAAATACATCACAGAGCATTACAGTTCACTGTAGACACTTACATCTCTTCTTCACTTACATTGTGAGGACGGGGCAGAGATTACAATTACCTACTTTTCTATTTTCAACAGGGTGCCAGAGGCACAAAAGGTATTCAACAAATCACTATTCAATTATGAAGGTTCCAGGGAATGAAGAAATGCCAAGATAATTAAGGCTAACTTAGTAGCAGGCTTACATTTCTTAAAAGAAACCTATTCATTATATGTGGCTAAGCACTTGACATTTTCAAATGCCTAAATGCACAACAGAAAAAAACATATACATTTCCCTAATCAAGGGCTCACTGGCACATGGATGTTGAATATCCTCGGGATCAGCTGTGAGCACCATCTGATTCCACCGAAGTTTAAAAAGAATGGCATTTCCTCAAAAAGACCACCATCACGATTCAGGGCGCAATCCCACTTGGAAAACCACAAGAGCAGCAGAAACCCAGCCTGACACATTTAAGTTCCAGGCAACAAGATGCATTTGGAGTGAGAGGCAGCTGACACCCACCGTTCTTGAAGTGCTTTACAGGTTCAAACAGCAAGTCTAAGAATATCTGTATCTCCTCGGGCTGGGTTCCTGCCAGGAACCTTAGCACAATGGACATGCGGGTGCCGGAAGACGATTTCCCCTGAGTTTTACTCCCAGTCTTGTTCTTCATTCGTCCATACAAAATTCTAAATAGTCAAGAGAACATTATTTGTTTGCCTATTAACCCTCAAACAAGTCCTTTTTTTTTCTTTTGTTTCCCTAAACGGCTAGAATAGCAAGTTGACAGTTAAATTGATATATTGTAGTATGCGGAAGAATGAAAAAGAAATGATATATTTAACACAGAAGTCTAGAAAAATAACAACCAAGAAAACATGACTAAGGGAAGCAGGAAGAAGGAAATGATAAAGATTAAGGCCAGAAGGATGTTCTTTGTAGGAGAAAAAAAGCAATAACATAGGCAGGGCAAAGGAAAGTCTAACCAAGAAGAAATGAGTACAAGAATACATGGACTGTGTAGCAATAAAATAAGAGACTACAACTGTAAGTAAAATAAGGAAAGTGTAAAGATCTCAGTTAAGGGGGTCATTTCTGGAAAAAACACAGCCAGAAAAAAGCAAAAGGAAGTTAAGAAGAATACCCATGTAGACCAGTAGTCATGGGAAAATAAAAAGCTATACACCAACCCTATTTTATAAACATAAAACACAGTATTTCTAAATTTAGAATCCTGGACAGCACTGAAACAATGTTAACATCAAACAAGGATCACCCCAGGAATGCTGAGTCCTTAGCAAAGTCTATTATGATGACACAGGAAGAAGTTAATGTGATCATTTTCATACATGCTCCTCATAAAATCCAACAACCATTCCTGACAATATACCAAACAACCTAGTCAAAAAGGTTGCTTTCTAAAATAAGATAAAACTTTTGATTTAACATTCACAATTCAAAGACAGTTGTTTTCAATATTAGGACTTCTTTATCCTTTTAAATATTAAGGTTTGCAAAGAGCTTTTCTGAAAATTTTATTTATTGATATTGAACATAATTAGACTTCTCAGAGGCTGAATTAATAAATAAATCAGAAGAAAACACAAAATGAAAGATCCACTAAAATCACTGAAGTAAATCATAATGGTAATATTTACCTCTTTGTGATCAACTCTTTAAAAAATCTTTGTTAATCTTTTTTAAAATTAAAGATGAAAAAATCTTTAATCATGCCATTTGCAGCAACATGGATAGAACTAGAAAGTATTACATCGAGTGAAATAAGCCAGCAGGAGAAAGATAAAATATGGATTCACTTATATGTGGCATAGAGAGAAACCAAACTCGAAAACCTTGAAAGCCAACATACTGATTGCAGGTCTGTGGACTCCATGGCGGGGGTGGGTGTGGAGGACTGGGGAATGGGGGAGAAGGGGGGAGGTTGGGGGCGGGGGAGAGCATGATGAGGACTATGAATGCGCTGGTGGTGCTGGTGGTGGGAGAGCTGGGGTGACCACACATGAGGGGAGAACTTGTCAACATATTAACAAGTATGTAAAACAATGGTATTTTATCAAAACAAATTTGTTTTTAATGGTCTACATACCTCATCAGGATAGGAAACAGATCTGCTCGGTGGGCTGTTTTGACTACTGTGTTTTCTTCTGAAATGCCGAAATGCGCGATCTCTTCCTTGAAACTTCTGTCTTCAAGTAATCGTTGTAAGTTTTCCCTTTAAAAATAGAACACGAATCATCACTGAATTATCAACATTTTTTTAAAAAGGCAATACAATAGAGCAAAACATGTAATGAAACAGGTTGTAAAAAATAGTCCAAGCAGTAGGGGACAGCTATAAAGGAGAATCGTTATAAAATGATCTTTCAAAATGACAGGTTTTTAAACTTTATAAGTTAAAAGGGATTAAGGAGTTAGACTTAGTCAATAATTCAGCTGTTTAAAGGATGAAGTAAAAACTTTTCTTCATATTTACAGTGGTTATGATTCTCTAAGTAATCAAGATTTTATAACATGTAAGCAAGGAGAAATAATATAAACTTCTCAACATATACTTTTCAATTCATTTTCTTTCCTACCTTATTACTTATGGAATAGTACTCTTAGCAAATATACTTCTAATTTTCATTTTAAAAAATAGCATTTCTAAAAATAGCATTACAATTACTTTACAAAGAGAAAAAATGTCCCAAGCTTTTTTATTTTAAAAGAGGTTTTCAATAGAAAAAAGATCAACTAAAGAGTTAGCAGATCTTTGGCTTCAAATAACTTACCTGTAAGGGAGGAGATGTGGATGTTTATATGTCATTATGCAATCCAGGGTTATTTTTTGTACTGTTTGATCCTGATGTAGCAACAACTAAGATAGATATTTTGTAGAATAAATTATTAAGGTCACACACATCCCATGGGACAGTAATTCATTTTGTTTTAATTTGCTAAAATAGATTTCTAGAACCTAGATTTTTAGATGTGGGTTGAAGTTGATTTTCCATGGGGCTAAAGAAGGAAGAACAGAATATGTGCAAAGACAAAAAATGGAAACAAAACTCTGACAACGGTGAACCTGGATTTATGTTTTTGTCCAGAGCCACTGTCTATATGCACCTGGGTTCACCCCAGCAGGGTTGGTCTGGGCTGAGAGGCTCACAGCCTGTGAATAACAGCAGTAATAGGAAGCCAGGGAGAAGACCTGGCTGAGACTTCTCTGATCAGCCGGTGCTGAGTATTATGTCTATGGACAACTGTCACTTGTGAATTCTAGCTTTATAAACAAGCCAAACAAACAACCAATTATGGGAAACAGGAAGACACATTTTCTTTTAACAAGAAAAATCTAAGTGGAAAAGAAAATTTCATCTTCTCAGATAGCTTAGGTGGCTAACTAGCCAATGTTTCCTCTGCTTCTGACGTTAAACTTTTCTTGTTACTGTTTTCTGGAATTCAGGATCAGAAATTGTGATTGCTATTTCAATTACCTGCTTTCACTGAGGACCATTCCAAAATCTTCATGCTTCACAAGGCTGACTTACCTAGAAATGGCCAGTTGCCATTTGCTCTTGACATAATCATTAAATCCTTCTAAAAGCTAATTCCCATGATACAAATACTGCTTTGCTATACTCACAGTTATTATAACTGGCTAATGTTTTATCACCCAGAATTTCTTTAAATTCATTGAAAATCATGTTTGACAATACTCCTCAATATACAAAAAATTACATACCACAGTAAAAAAACTTACTTAGAATGTAGGCACAGGACTTACTGAAAAATTATTGAAAACCAAAAATTATTTTGGCAAAGAATATATTAGAGAATATAGTTCACAAAGAACTGTAGTGTACAGAGTTTATTTTACTTACCTGAAGATAAAGCTCGTATAATTTGGACTCTAGATATAAGGCCCGAGGATTTGAAAACTTTGAGAAAACTTGTAAATGAGCAATTAACTGCCTAAAAAATGACAACAAGCAAAAATAGTGAGGCTATTACAGAATTAAAGCGCAGAGATTATACCAAGGTAATAGATTCCATCCATTTTAGTGTCACTGACAAGTCCTCTAAACACTGACTCCAGTCTCACTGTTAATTACACAAACAAGCTTTACTTATTTGCATTTAGGAAATTATTCTCCAGAAATTCCAGATCTTAGGCAGGCCTATTCCTGAAGTCCAGGTTTCCCACATCCCAGAAAATCACTTGGGATATCTTTAGAAAAGTTTAAATTACAACCCAAGCAGAATGAAAGGCATCTAAATAGTAATACATTGCCGAGGTGAACATAGGCAGCTCCTTATCTGGGTTTCACTCAGTGGACAGGAAAGTGGTGAAATAGATTCTTGCTCACTTTGATATAACATAAACAGAGTGAGGAGCAGAGGCCCAAGTTCAGGGAGCCACGGCTCGCGCTTACAAAGATGGAAGAAAGAGCCACATGGGCTGTTGAAATTGAGGGTGTGTCCCCCAGTCCGTTACGCTGTCTACATGGACAGAGCCAGTGAGCGCTTCACCTGCACTTGCTCACTCAGCTTCATAGCCCACAGGCTCTCTGAGGCTTTAAAAGTACTTGAGAAAACAGTTTTCTTCTCTGGGTATAATTTGTTAAAATCTTTAAAAAAAAAAAAAATGAAATGAATACATTGTGGAGGTATCAGGGAGCAGTGACTACAGGCAGAAGCCAGACCATACGTGTGATCACACCTGACCCTGGGACAGCTGACTAATGTCTCAGTCTCAATTTCTTCATGCTGACAAGCACTCAGTTTTCTATGAGGATTAAATGAAAGAAGACAAATCATGGGCTTCTGCACCTAAAAGTTTAGCCAATAATTAATTGCCCTGTTTCTGGACAAAAAGATAACTGGAAACCCTTCTAGTTAACTGGGAAAAAAAAAAAAAAGTAAGCTGGAATTACGACCTCTTCAGATACTGTCACGATACTGCACAAGCTTAGCACTGTTGTTTATATTGAGCTAAAACATCAGTTAGTCTTGTTAACTTGACTAAGTCACAGTACCCGGTTATGTAATGAAACACTAGCCCAGGGGTCGCGAGCACAGTATATTGTAGATGCTGTGACATGCACAGTCAATTAACTTTAAATAAAAGAGATTTCCCTCAGTGATGTGGATGGACTTCACCCAGGCAGACCTGAAGAGCAAAAATGGATGTTTCCCAGAGCGGAAGGCATTCTGCACAAGACCGTGGCAGAGGATTCCTATGAATTTCAGACTCAGACAACATCAAATCCTGCATGACTGCAGCCTGCAGTCTCTACCTGATGAACTATGGATTTGCTAGCTCTCACAAACACATGAGCTAGCTTCTTACATTTCTTTATGTGTATATAAATCTCTTTATATGCACAGATATACTTTGTATACAGATGATTGATATAATGTCCTTGTAATTACTTCTCACTCAGTCTTTGCAGTTTTACAAATAAACCTTTAAAACTTGGTTGAAACGTCCACTTGTTCCCTCAACATTAATTATTTTTTTATAGGTCTTTTTGTAGCTTTAAAGAGCCAGAAAGAACAGGAGCTCATTTATATGTTCTCTATAAATACATGCCAATAAGGAGATTGCCTCATAAAGGATTTAAAATCGGGATTATGAGAATATTAAGATGGTTCCAAAAGCATGATGATCAGTTTAGTTATATTTTCATGGATGGCGTATGAAAGTCTAGGTTTGGCTAGAGAGGGCACAAATGTCAATGAAGGCCTGGGCCTGTTCCTTGAAGAGTTTCTGATTCACATGTAACATCTAAGAAACATCTCAAACCCAAGGCAATGGGCAGTACCATAACAGCGGAATAAATGGCGGTTTACATTCGGAGTTGGTAAGGTAGCTGAGTTTCAGACACAGGAGAGGGTCAGTGAAGAGAGTGGCAGCATGAGGACAGTGTTTTAAGCAAAGCTTTTGAAGTATGACCGGGCATGCGTGTCCGTTGGCAGAAATAAGGCAAAGCACTGTAGAAAGAGGGAAGGATTCAGCAAGGGCTGAATGGTGAGAAAGGAAAAGATAAACTGGATAAATAGTAGGATGCATTTATTTCCAAAGAAATGCAAGGAGTGATCTTTTGCTGGCTAGTACTCTGAAGGGCATGAAAAGAAAACAGCATTCTTCACCTTAGAAGAGACAGTAGGGGATCGCTGGAGTTATGAGGAAGTCGAAGTCTGGCCTCAATCTTTCCTGTCCCTGCACATGACACTGTTTCCTTAGCTGTCTGTCCTGCCTGCCTCAGCTGCCTAGCGACACTTTGTCTTTTAGCTTCAAAAGCACCTTCTCATTTGCAGAAGTCTTCCCTAGGTAGTGGAACTGTCCTTCATTACTGTGCTTCCAAGAGAAGCACAGGAAAAATATATTTCTCCTATGAAAATATTTCACTGGGCCCCAGACTGAGCTTGCAGCCGTCGGCTGAGTGTTCCGCAGCTTTGCACCCAGCACTCAGCAGAAGGCCCTCAACAAAACGCCGAGTGGGTGCACTAATACACAGTGCATGGGCATAGCTGACCGAGATCAAAAGTGTTAAGATCACACAGTAGCACCAATCCAAGGAATCTCTTTCACCCCACTTAAGCCAGTCTTCAAGGAAGCTGGAGGAACTTCTGAAAACGAGATCACGTTTTTTTTTAAGGTTCCTCTGAATGTAAGTAAATGAATAACTCAGAGAATAAAAAGATGGAAGATCACAAAAAAATAAGGTAACCTCAATGAGGTGAGTCAGAAGGCAAAGTAAAGTGCTGATCTGAGAGGAGATGTTCCAGTCATGTTCCCTCAGCACACGAATGCGCTGCCCTGCTGCTGGGAAAAGGCATGATAAAGGTCAAAGCACAGCAGGGCTCTCATCTAGACAAAGGAGCCAAGGTTAGATGGCCCCCCCACCAGCATCTCCTCCACTCTTAAATACTCTATAGCTAAACAAGAGAAAAATATAAGCAAACAACCAAAAACTCAGAAGACCATCGATTTTTGGGGGGTGGTAAAAGAAAACGAGGATGATGCGGTACTTATACAATCACTGAGCAGTTCATCCTGTCCAAGTCTGGCTTGTGCTAGGCCATTTAAAGAGCACCAACGTCCCAGTCCTCCCAGGATGGTGCCTCCAGGGTCCCTTAGTGGCACCAAACTTACTTTGCTGCAGCTCTTCTTGTCTTTTTCTTCTGGGAGGGTTCATCTTGGGGGGCCACCTCTTCCTCCAACTCTTCATCCTCTCCAGTGGCAGGCTCCTCCTCAACTACTTCCTCCATCGCCACCCCTTTGGTTTTTTTCAGCAGATTCTGGGTTGGAGCAACTTGCAGATCTGCTGGGTAATACTCATTGCTACGGTGTAAAGAGAGTAATTCAAGATGGATGAAACTGAAATGCTCTTTTCGGTCCGTGACAGGCTATGCCCATGACACACAGATTGGACAGTAAAAGGATATCAGAGGCAAGTCAAGCCTCCTCGGTTACACTAGCTGCAAAAGGGGGCCCACCGCACTACTACATTGTTGAACGACACCTTATTTAACTCTACACATAACATGTGTGGCCTTCTTCAAAGCAAGGTAAGCCACGCTAGGCACTTCTAAGGTGTTGAGCACAGAGCATGTGCTAAGTGTCACCTATCATGGGGATGGAACTGCCATTGTTAGCTTTTAATTCCTGCTTCTGGCTTGACTCTTCTTGGAAAATGTTCACAGAGGGTGCCCAAGTTAGCTCTAAATTCAAATTATTTGCAACATATTTAGAAATAAAAATTCCTAGCTAAAAATAAAATGCCTATGACATATTTTGTTCAGGTAACTTATAATAGCATTAGTTATAGTAATTGGTGTCAACTAATTTTAATTCAAACATTTTCAAAAATGGCATATCTTTAGCTTTTAAAGATTCTTAAACTCAGAGACCCACTTGAACTTACAGGCCCCTTTCACCACCCCCACCCTACCTCACCCCCACTAGAGAAAGGCCTTTATCCTTAGGCTCAAGGTTAATCTATTTCTTTCGTTAGTGGAAAAACTTGGAAAATTAATATGGTAGGAAATTCATATCCTACTAATACCATTAATGCAAGCTCACCTATGTATAGGCCTTTGCAATTCATATGACAACTGACAAAACCTTTATCTGATCTTCAAAACAAGGCAAGGAAGCTAAATATCAATGTTCTCACTTTATAAACAGAGCACAAAGAATATGTGAAAAAAAGAAAATCATTCCTTTTTCAAGGTCAGCTCTATGGACATGCCTGCATCTTTGTAACCTTTGCCAGGATGAATTATTCACGCAAACCCTTTCACTCAGGCACCAGGTCCTAGCTGCCTGTGCCCATTCAAAGCTACCCTCTAGCAGCTTTATCTCTTCCTTCATTATGAATCTTCCCTTTCCTGAATCATACACATCAGCATTATATACGCATTATTTACGTATATGCTGTTTAAAACCGAAAGTGCCCCCACCACTTAGCACTCCCTCCAAACCTCTTCTCCTTCCTCCCTCTCCCTATGTCCAGGTTTGTTTTTGCATTGTTTTAATAGAGACAGCTGTTTATATTTGCTGTTTCTCTTTTCCTTCTCCAGTTCTCCTAAGCCCCTTTTAATTAGGATTTCATTCTTTCCAGGTTAACTAAAGTTAACCCTTGCTCAGGTCATTTCCAAACTCCACCATAATTCTTATTATTCACATGACTGATATTTCAAACACACCTGATTCAACCAATTACTCATTTCCTGAAATATACTCTTCAAGGGCTATTTATCTCCCAATTTTTAAATTACAATGTCAACTCTTCGAAGTCCTCTGGTTCTATATTCACACCCAGGTGTGGCTTCACTCCTTGTCTCATACAGCGACTGGTATGTCCCAAATGAATTATCTCTAGGCCAGACCTTTCTCTTGAACTTTAAACTCTAAATTCAGCTGTCTACTTGACATTTCTACTTAGATGTATGCTTAGAGTCCCAAAATAGACATATGTCTAAAAATGAACTATTGATCTCCACAAGGTTCCACACTTCTGCATTCTTCCCAATCTCAGTAAATGGTAGACTCTCTTGTTCTTGTTGTCCAGGCTGAAACCCTAGAAATATCCTTGATTGTGCCCCCATCCTTCCTGTACAACACCTCCCACCTGATCTGCAGATCTACTGGCTAATCTAGTTTCAATTCTTCAAAAATATACGCTGTGGAATTGAAAACCTTCAGTAAAAAACAAAAAACCACTTCCAGAATCCAATCACCTCTTGTTATGTTACCTGCACTACCACAGCCCTGTTAGGTCACCCTCATTTCTTGCCTGGATTTTTGCAACCACCTAATTATCTTCTCTGTTCCCATCACTGTCACCCTACAGTCTGGTCTAAGCAGTTTGAACAATCCTTACAAAAACTTCAGCCATGTCACCCTTCTGCCGAAACCTTCCCATGGCTTCCTATTTCATTGACAGTGAAAACCAAAGTCCTATCAGTTAAAGGATCTCCACAATCCGGTCTCTGTTCACGTCTGCCCTCGTCTCCGACCTCTTTCTTCTTGGAGCTCAGCCATAACCTACATCCTCGCTGTGCCCTGAATAAGCCTGCTTCACCAGCCCCACAGCATTTTCCTGCATAAGAAAGGAGGCCTGGCAAACATGTGTTTTGTTGATGAATCAGTTTTACACACACCACATCCATTCTCCTTATAGTTTTTAAACAATCTGACTTTCACACAGCCGATCCAGTCAACATACAACAAGGTTCCAGAAGGTTCTTGTTATTTTTTAAGAATACATTCCTCAGCATCATGGGAACCATTCAAGAGGGTGAGGACAGAGTGACTGGGGTTGGGTTACGGGAAAATACTTCTAAGCCCCAGGCAGGCGATGAAGCAACAAACAGCAGAACAAGGAATAACAAGGCCTTTGTGCGTTGATCTAAGTTGGTCTGGCCCTTGTTAATTTGCACACTGGAATTTGTTATTAGTGCTTAGTGTAAAAGTAAGAGATGAATGAAACTAGTCTAGTCATTATCTGACCGAACAGGTGCCTTGCAGAGGTGCCAATCATTGAAAATTTTGTAACGAACTGTCAATTTGGGAGCTTCATACTTAAGAGTCACTGTCTCTTCTTTTTTAAAGATTTGGTTATTTATACATAGAAGAAGTGGGGTACAGCCAGAGGTGTAGGGACAGGATTCACCAGACAGAGTGGGGGGCAGAACAGGAAGATGGACTAAAATATACTGCTGAGGGGAGCATTGGGCGTGTCAGGAGAGGTCTGCCACGCCATGTGGGTCACCTCTGGGGGGCGAGGATCAAACTCATGCTGCAGTGGCTGCTGATATCACAGTGCTGCACTTTAACCGCTCATGCCACCAGGGAGGCACTCACTGTCTCTTGTTCATACCCTACCAGGACATAGTCCTAGGAAAGAACACTTACTTGATAAATCTCAAGAAAAGTGGGGTGAGCTCCCTGGATCTAGGCTCTACCCTCTCAGGGAATTTTGCCAGAGCTCGCCAGAGCAAAAATCGGAAGTTGGTATAGTCCAGTCTTTCTTGGCAGTCGGTTTTCAATGCTAACTGCTTGCTATAAAGCGCTCCAACTTCTCCTTCTGGAGTCTGCTCCCAACTTTCATCTCTGCCAGATTTCTCATCTCTTCTATCATTTTGCAGTTCTTTCTCTGCAAGAAAAAAGTCATCAGCAACACTAGAGACGTACTGGCACTTGTTCTACATGTTTCCTCAAGGTAAGGTATTCCTTTTTCTATTAATATAAAGAAACTATAAACCATATCAAAGGTCATCAAAGACAATCATTTGTTTCTGATTCATGTGATTACACAGTTAGAATCAAATAGCTCAACAACCACTTTGCTTTCTACACCCCCAAACATCCCCTTCACATACCAGCATGGGTAGCTGCTTTTTCTAGATGTTCATAGTAGACTTTCCAAAACTGCTTATTTTCCATTTCATGTGCATGAGAGCTAAAAGAAAAGATCACAAAACAAAGTCTGTGGCACGGTCCTTACTTTAAGTTTATCACAGGAAAAAAAAAAAAGCAAAAGCATATAATGTGAATCACTAACTAGCTTCTCCCTGAATGTAGGGTTATAAACAACTTTTGCACTTTTCTGTATTTTTCAAAATGCCTGCATTGAGAACAACTTCTTTATATAGTTGTAAGTACTAAAGGATCTTTTCTAAAAACCTAAATAGGCCCCCATAAGGAGGCTATTTTTAGAGGCATCATGATAGGAATGGGGCATTGGACGTGAGGTATGGCTTAATAGGGTATGGAAACTGTTCAGAGCAAACATTAAAATACTGGTTGTTCCTTCACCAAATTCAAATGTCTTTATCATGAACTAGTTTGTTGGCTATGAATGACAGTAAAGGGCAGACAAATTGGTTCTAAATTGGAAAGGGATTCGTTTGCTTTGATTCTGGGAAATAAGAACTAAGAGTTAGGATTTGGAGAGGTCACATAAGATATAGCTTCTAAAGTGACAAAAAGCCAAAGTTTTCTACCTCAAGGTAAATGTTGGCAAAAGGTTTCTTTCTAGATATGAGGCACAGCAAATGTATTTTTTACATGACTGTTAAGGTTCTTTTTAGAGCTAATGGGATTTTGAATACTAGACATACAAGTTGTAAAATATCTGCTACTTAATGTTTGGCTCAGTAATTCAATACATACAAACTTGTGGAAGAATTATTCAATACTTTGTTATTGCAAAAAATACTAATGTAGAGGTATCACATAAAAAGAGAAAAAGAAATAACCTTTGAGGTTATTTCACTATACAAAGAGCTATACATAACATTTGAACTACTGAAAAAATTGGTATCAGAGTGATTTAATATTTATTTTTTTGTCACTTTATCACAGAGGACTTAATGTAGCTGTAAGTACTGTAAATACCCATTCATTTAAATCACACCTAGAAGGAGTCTTATACCAACTACATCATTCTGTAGTTGTTAGAGCATTTAACCTACTTACCTTATGAGTTCAATAACAGGGTCCCAGAGTGGACTGAAGTTAACATATAACATGCCTAATAAGTAACGAAGTGGCACCTGCAATTAGAAACTTCTTTAGAAAATGGGTTATGAACTACAGTAGAATGGCACCAAATACAGATAACCCAACTAAGGATATCCTGAGGCTTAGGAGGAAACTGGGGCTTTCAGAAGAAAGTTGGAGGTACCAATCCATAACCGAGTGTATAGTAATTCCCCACTCTCCCCCAAATGTCACTTGCTATTTAACAAAGAAGAATCACTAAAGCAAGCCATCTTTATACTCCAGATACTCACACATAAAGAATATACTTCAATAAAGATTGGACTCAAGAGGAAATTCCCTCCAACAAACACTGCCATCATCTAATAGGACAAAATCGGTATGGTATCAGCAAGGCAAGATGCCAAGAAACCCAAGAAGGAGGCTGTGAATGGCAGCTGAGGCTTTGTAAGGATATGACTTGAGTTATCACAAGCACATGATACTAGAGGTCAGCTCAGAGGACCTAAAGTTGTCTCCGTCATCTTTTGGAATGACAGGCATCATTACTGGCATCAGCATGTGCTGGGCAGGTAACGTGAGATAAGGAGTTTGAGATATTATGATTTGGGGAGTGAGGCGTGTGCATCTAATTTAGCAGGATTTTCTTTTTGCAAATGAAGTGTTACATGGGAGAGTAATATCTGACACAGGATAAGAACAGAACTGTTCTCATTCAAAGGGGAACTTATCTTACTCGTAAAGAGATCTATGATAGATCTATCAAGGGTGGGGGTAGAAAATTTCTGATATGAAAAGAGGAAGGCTGACATCCTACAGCTCTAAGCAAATCTGGAGGAAATGCCAGGTTTTGTACTTGACATTGAGTTCTGTTGCCACCTAACTGTACACACCTTCCAGGTAAGAGAGGGATTGCAATTTATATCTACAGATGATATAAACTCAAAGTATCTAAGAGCACTGGAGATGAGCCTAGCTTTAAAGATATTGCTTTTTGTGATTACTTGGTATACTTTTCTTTTCAAAAGTCAGCTAAATGGATCTTAAAGCATAAATTAAAGAAAAAAGGACTGTTTTATACCTCCCGTAACAGCCCCTGAGGGGTAGTTCTTTGCACCACGTCATGTCTTAGTTTTCTCAGGTGAAGAAGCTTTTCCCTGTAATCATTCACCGTCGCTGGCACGAGTTCTGCCTGGTGTAATATAGCAAAGGCCGACTGGCGATCCCCGAGCCCGTCATCCTGAACAACCAGAGAAAACCAAGGAGGCAAGGAGCATTTTGATTTTCTAAAAAGAACATTCAAGGTGACCAAAGGTCTAAAAGAGAAAAACTAGCATGTTAAAGTTTTAAATTAAATAGGCAACACATTTTTGGGGTAAATGATTCATTTTTCCTTGTTACATTTACTTTTTGCTGGATGATTCAGCTGTAGCGTTCAGCATATAAATGATAAGTAAAAACCAGGAAGCAGACATCGAAATGACTCAAAGGTACTGGCACCATATAACCATGAAGAACAGATACATATACTTTCACTATACAATTCTTCCTTCAGTAGAAATGGTTTCTATTTCTAGAAGTAACAATTTGCATTATGGATATATTGCAAACACACACACACACACACACACACACACACACACGGTTATACAACCTAAGTAAGGGTGTTTGTTGCAGTATTTTTAGAAATAGTGGAAAACGACAAATGATCCATTGACTGGTTAAATAAGATATATGAAACTCTGGGGTACTAGCCAAACTTTGAAAGAAATGAGCTAGTGGCCTTATCAGATTTTCAGCAAAGGTATCATTTTGAAATTTAAAAAAAAATATATCAAATTATTTTTTAAAAAAGTATCCAAACTGAATAAATTACCCCCATCAATTCTGGAAGTTGAACTTCAAAGTAGTTTAGGATCCTTACTGTCAAAAGCCGAATCTAGAAAAAGTAACAGGTAAGTTTCAAAATTTATACCTTAGGTAATTAAAACAGTCCATGAGTTCTAAGAAATATATACCACTTGTCAAAATAATACATGCTTATTCTAACCCTTATTTCTTATTCAATACTAACCAACACCTAATTCAAATAATACACAAGAGTAATGAATGACCAGACTAGACTGAGAAGGTTAAGGCCAGGTTGCTTCTTCGAGCCATGACATGTTAGGTGTCCCATATAAATACATGCTGATTAGGTCGACAATTTCACTGAAATTAGATTTTTATTTCTAGATAACATATCAGGGAATTTCTATACACTAGAAGAGTAGCAGAATTGCCAAAAGAGTTTTACAAAACTGCAGATTTTTCAGTTCAACCCTTGCCATACCAAATTAGTTGTTTTGGGGCATGGGGGACCCAGAATTTGTAAATGTATGAAGCTCTCCCAATTAATCCTGCTGCAGACCATCAGTTTGTCAGTCATACTCAGGTTAGGAATCACTGCTTTAAACAGACATCACCCCGCAACAGCATTTTCTGATTAAGGAGCTCAGACGATCTCTGGCTACATATAGTAATAAAATATGAGCTGAGAACACCACACCAAACAGCGTCATTACCTTGGATATACCACTTGAAATGTTGGCTTGTAACTTGGGAAATAATTCCATTAATGCTTCCTCAGACAGTGGCCCTCTGCAGCCGTGTATGGATAATCTCTGATAATACAGATCAGCCAACAGCAGCACTGACGGTTCCGAAGGAAGCATTCTGCAACAAGGTATTGATCAAAACCAGATGGCACACCTGAGTCTAAACTAGCCTAGAAATGCAGGAAACTATCACTGATGGAGAAAATGTACAGGGCGCCAGGCCAGAGTCATGCAGCATTCAAAGCAGGGACCTGAGGCCTACAAATGTGAGTGAGGACACAGATCATCGGAGGACACAGATCATTGGAGGTACATGGGGTCAGAACGTGTCCCAAAGCTGTATTCTAACCCGCACAGGTGTAAATGAGAATGACACTAAGGAGGGCAGATAGTTATTCTTTATTAAGAATAAAGAACATGTTCCATGTTCCAGGCCCTGAGCTGGAAAGGGAGCGTGTGTGGGACCTGGCATGGGCTCTGTGGTCACCAAGCACCTCTGGTCTGACTCAGTCCAGCCATCTGTCAGCAGTGTGACCCCTGGCAAGCTGCTTGACCTACATGCCATCCACCTTCAACAAATATTTACTGAATGTCTATTATGTGCCAGTGATTTTCTGAGCATAGCAGTAAACAAAAGACAAAGTCCCTACCTGGAGTTTATTTCCTAACTGAGGGAGGTAGACAATTATTACATCAAAGAATAAATAATGAGTATGACGGAGATGAGAGAGGGGGAGAAAGTGAATCTGGGGAAGGAGGCTGGAGTGAGTCGTGTGTGGGAAGCAGAAGGGGGAGGTTGGGGATCACAGGGGCAATCACAGAGGGCAGAGACTGCATGAAGAGAAGTGAGCCCAGGGAAATCTGCAAGAAAGCATTTCAGGCAGATGGGAGAGTGATGGATGCCTTGTCCCAGGCAGGTGGGTTTGTCCGAGGGAGGTCAAGGAGACTCATCCAATTGGGATTCAGTCAACAAGGAAGAGTGGCTGGGAGTGAGGCCAGAGCAGTCAAGGGTTAAGACACACACAGCTGCACAACCATGTTAAGGGCTCAGGGGACCATCAATCAAGGTTCTCGGTAGTGGCATGTTGACATTTGGGCCAGATAACTCTTTGTTGGGGGGTGAGAGTAGGATATCTGAGCATTCCAGATTGTTTAGCAGGATTCTTGGCCTCCACTCTCTAGATTCAGCCCCTATTGTGACAAGCACACTCATCTCTGGAATCACCCCTATACTGTTGGCAAAAGGAAAACGATCTAGTTTCATCTCAAAGCATCAAGACAACTCAGGAGGTTAATGCAATATTCCAGATATGAAATTGGGGCGACAGTGGGTACTGGGTAGTTATGATTCTGGGTTCACTGTAGAATTTTACTTTCCCTGTCTGATGAGAACAGTCTTTACACTTCATGCAGGTGTTCTGAGGATTGAATTAAGTAACAGATGTGAAATATTCAGAGCAGGGACTGGCACATAAGAACACAGTAAATGTATTCATGTGCTACCATCACTGCAGGCATTGCCCAGCTTAATCTGCATGAGTTAACTAACGGAGCCAAGGTTTTACCAAAGTAGGTGGTCAAGACAAGGTTCAAATCCAGGTTGTCTTGGCTGTGAAATCTATGTGCTTAAACAGTAACTAACAGAGCGCTGAGCACAGAGTTTCATTTAAAAATGGAAGCCTGTCCCTCCACCTCCATGTGGATCCAAGCTACCAGGCTGGGAGGCAGTTGGTGCTCTGCCGGGGAGACAGAAGTCCCTCTGTGTCACATGCTCCCTTCTGTTTCAAAAGCTCTCCGGTTGCCATAAAGGGGTCCTACTAAAGAATTAATCTGAGAAATTTAAGTGGAAGGACAAAGTAAGACAGAAATATATAGGTAGGGTGACAGCAAAGGAAAGAATCTCCTTAAAAGAATTTAGAGCAGCGACTAAGCGTGGAGAAGTGCGAGCTCCGGCCACTCTGGAAACGCAGCGGTGCGGGAGCACGGCGGGAAGACCCCATCAGGTCTCCTTTACCCCTTCACTTCATGTCACCAGTCTAGGGCAGTGCTCCTGGGGCGGCTGACATCACGCCCCGACAGAAGTCCTTCCGTGGCTGCCTCCCCGTCACCCAAAGGCTCTGGCTTGACAAGGGTCGCCACAGGTCATAGCTGGCATGGTTCCACCCTTGGAAGTTCCGCCCCCACCCCCAGGCCTCGCTGCACCCAGCACCATGGCCTCCCTGCAGCCTGGCCAAGCGTGCCGAGCGCCAGGGCACTGGTGATTCCCCAGGTCTGCAACACAGAAGCACCCCAGATCCTGGGTACCCTCCTGGCTTACTTCCTCTCCACTTTGGGTTTCTGTTCACAGCTCTCCTTGGTGGGGCCTTCTCTATTTACAATGCCATGGGACCCAACTTCTAGCTTCTCCCCACTCCCTGCCCCCCATTCACTGTTCTTCATAGCACTTAGGACCACTGAACATGCTTTACATGTTACTTTCTTATTTTAGTGTCTCAACTTTTAGTGTCTCTTATTTGACTGTTGGCTTCTTGGAGGCAGGAAGCTCTGTTTCATTTACTAGTAGATAGGCCTGGTCCAGAGGAAAAGTCACTGAATACTGGCTTAAGTAAATGAATGAATCTGCTCATAAAAACATGGCAAGAAAACTGATGGGACTCCACAGAACAAAGCCAACCACTTGATCAGATTTTCAACAGGCCCAACTTTTACAAAGGGTGTCAAGGGGCAAAAGGCCACAGAATAGTGCTGCTAGGATCCTACCACAGTCAGGAGTTGGCTAAAATGCTCTGAAAACAAATAAGCAAACAAAAAAGCTGGATTGTTTTGGAGAGATGGCATCAAGCTGAGGTAGGACACATGAGTAGTAGGAATGTGTGTGCCGGAGGCCCTAAAAAGTTCCAAAATGTCAACACTGCAATGTTGTGACTACAACACTAGTTCACACACACACAAAATACCCCTTGACAGAGGTGAGTCTACTGAAAGACTGTCAAAACTTTACTTATTTGAATTGGAGGACATAAATCAATAATACATTTCCTATGTGGATACAAAGAAACAGTAGATCAAAACAAGGGTGGCTAATATGTCCAAGATTTCCCAAAGATAGGAGCTTCTGCATTTTACTCATTTTTAAATTGCACAGACCCTACGTTTACTTACAATACTAAATTCTTCACACGTTCCACAGGAACCAAATGAAGAAGTTCAGAAGATTCTTCTAAACTCAGCAGAGTATTTACAGCTTGATAAAGAACAAATAAGCTTCCTAAGGGCAGAAAAACAGAAGACACCACATTACTTATTTCTTTGACACAATAACCATCAGACATCACATTTATCTAACACTTGCTATGTATAGAAGTTCTGATAGTGAATTTTTGCATTTTAAAGAATTATCTATAAAAATGCTACAGTATAAAAGAAACAAAGTTACCAAGTCTTTTTAACTTTCTGAGAGAAAAATATATACAAAACACAGGGTGAAAATACAGATTAAAAATAATTAATTGAGATGAAGAAGTTCAATGATTCCACCACCAGGCATTATTAAAAAAACAAAAAACAAAAACACTTCTGAGGGGAGAACACTTGGACTTTCCGAAGCTAAGAAATTATTTTTTGGTAAAACTCAAGTTGATTTTGTCTCCAACTTATAAGTCACATAACCAATGGCTATAACCAGTAATATTAACACTAATTAGATGTTTATTTCTCCATAAGGAGGCAGCAAGCTATGGGCCACAAGAAAGAAGCTTGATCTTAGATGGCTGGTTGGCTAAGAATGTTTTCTCTAACTGTGAAGGTCATTTAAAACAAAGCAAACAAAAAGAATAAAAAATGTCAAATACTTCTGGTCCTTAGATAAAAATGTTGTCAGGCCCTCCCTAGTGGCGCAGCGGGGTAAAGCATAGCACTGAGAATCTAAAGCCGCTTCCGCATGAGTTCGATTCCCGCCTGCCCCTGGTGTGGCAGACCTCTCCTGACCCGCCCGCTGTTCCCCTCAGCACTGTACTTCCTCCATCTGCCTGTTCTGCTCCCCACTCTGCCTCTGGTGAAGTCTCTCACCTCCCCTGAGCCTCTGGCCTGTACCCCAGTTCTGTATGCACAAATAAATAAATCTTTAAAAAAAAAAATGTTGTTAATCCCTGCTTTACACTACAGAACAGTGCTGTGCCATCCAACTTTCTGCCATGTCAGTAATGTTCTACACTTGTGCCAATGTGGAGCCAGACGCAAGGATGTTAACCACTAGCCATAGTGGCTACATGTTCTCTAACATGTTTGCTTGTTACCCAACACAGAACCTACCCAGTAATACTTCAATGGATAAATGGCGACTATCTGTGTGTATTAGCAAAAAATACAGCGTGAAAATACAACAAAAGACCTACTTTGAAACAGGGATGGGGGATGTTCAGGCATATAACAGCAAGTGAGGGTTGGGGCAGAGCGGCCTAATAATTCTGACTAAAGAGTCATGAGGGCTCATAGAGGTGTCAGGCTCAAGCTGAGTTTTGAAAGATCAGTAAGTTCACCCAATGACAAAAATCTAGAAAGGACTGTAGGCAAAGGGATGTATGTCTAAGGCAGCTGAAGGATCTTGCTCAAGGAAAGGAAACTGAAATGTCTGGAGGACATGGTGGGAGAGTGACGGTGGGTAGGGAATTAGACACAAGCGAGGGTTTGAAAGTGGGGTTTGGCATCCTCTGGGCACTTTGCCGCCCCCTTCAGCTCATGTTCAAGCCACCCGGACCTGGTTATCACATTACAAAGTGCAACACAGGAGGTTATGTCAGGACACAGTGTTGGTACCGTTCTCTGGGATTCTATGTGTTTACAGTGACTCGGGGACGCCAGAAACGAAAGAAGAGTACAAACAGTGATTGAACTGACCTTTTCCAATGCTCCCTCTGTCAACAGTGGTGAAGAGTGACTCTATGAAGCATGTAACCAGTGGAATCACCTTCTCTCTCTCCAGAGGTCTGTCCACGTCGTGGGAAGAAAAGGACAAAGTCCAAACTGGCATTCAATAGCTTGTTTTTGAAAGCACAAGGAATGGCTAACAAATGTTCTAGCCAGCAATTATGCATCATTTTCAAAATGAAATGTTGTGTGTTCTTACCTGACATGAGGTAACACAACAAGGGCTGCCCAAGAATGTGAAAGGCAAACATCTTTATTAGGGGGTAACTGAATGAGAGCTAAAAGATGATCCAATACTGTTTTCTGCTCTTTTCCTTCCTTAGATCTTATACTCCTCTGCCTTATATAGGACCTGAAGAAAGAGAAATAAATTTGAAATAAAAGAGAATGTAATTACTCTTGCCCGTTGAAGGTTGTCATAAAATTAGCTCCTTTCCATGTGTGGCACACTTGGGGGGTGGGGAGGCTGTGGAAAAATAACTGAACAAATGTGACTCGTTCACTGATTCTGAAATGAGAAGCTTTTTCAACCCCTTTCTCTATCATCTATTTTAATTTGTTTTACCTAGTCTCTTTTAGTTTTAGGTATTTCTTAATTTTGTGCTGATAGTCACATTTTAAAAAAATAATAGTTCACTTTTACATCATGTTGTGCCTTTTTCCATCTCAGTTGTAATTCCCATGGACTTCCCATCACCAATTCACCTGTGTGCTGATGGGGACATTTTTAAGAACTGGAATGAACTGACTTCTTCCATGCCCCCTTTCCTAAATTACTTCACAAATGTAGAATGATATAAAGTTATCATGGGTGACTTTGACAAGATTTACTAAAGCAATTTAGAAGCAACTTTCTCTGCTATCTTATTCTAATGAATGGTTTACTCAGTGGTCTTTTCTGATGTGACATTCAATTTTAGCTATTTGTTACTTTGGTATAATTCTTGTTTGCCTCTCTTTACTTTTTCCAATGGCCATCACTTCAGTCATGTTTGAAAGACAGAAATCAAATTTTAAGTTTTGTAATCCTGGCATAACAAAGGGCTTGTATCCAGAATGTAAAATGAACCCCTGTTACGTGATGAAAACAAAAATTAAAAATAGGAACATATATGAAGAGGCTTTATAAAAAATACACACAAATGTCCAATAAGCATATGTGATGATAGTGTTTAATATCATCAGTTACCATGAAATTGCAAATTAAAACCACAGTGAGAACCATGCCTTGCCTATTAGAATGATTCAAGTGCTAACTGACAATATTACACATTGACAAAGATGTGGAGCAAGTGGAATACTCACACATGAAAGCAATGTAAACTGTCTGAAATCTGTTTGGCATTGTCTTATAAAGCTAAAAATGTGGCTATCATCCAAAACAGTCACCCCAAGAGAAATGAAAACATACATATGCACTCACACTTATAAACATGTGCAGAGCAATTTTATTCACACTATACAAACATGAGAAATAAATGATCATCTACAACATATTGTGGCATATCATTCAATGGAATATTACTCTGCATTAAAGGTAGTAAACTACTGATATATTAAACAGCCTAAATGGGAAGTCAGAAGTGAATTCCAAGATCATTATACCAAGTAAAACAGACACAAAGAAATACATATTGTATGATTCCATTTCTATGAAATTCTAGAAAATGCTAAATGATTGGCCAGGGCAAGGGATGAAGGGGGGAACACACCTCAAGGGCCTGATGCAATACCTTGACAGAACAGGTGGTTTATTGAGTACATCATACACCTGCCAATACTCTCAAACTGTAGACCTTTTATGGAGCTTATTTTATGTCAGTTTCCTTCAATAACCCTGTTTTTAACTAATTCTCTCCCCAAAGAAATTTCATTAAAAACAATAAACTAAAAAAACTGTTTCATAATTTGAGCTCCATATTCAGGTTGGGTATGTTGTTATGCAATAGAAGTGGAATACTGGGCTTTATTCCTTTCCACTTTTATCATTAAAATAAACTAAAACATTGCATCCTGCTTGGTTTCATAACAGGTATGCGGAATGTTTGGAAGCTATAATAATGAAGACAACTTTTTCTAAAAGTCATTGTACCATATATACAGTCTTTTTAGATGTCACCATGACTTGACAAATTGCAAAAATTTTATCAGTACTGAAATGGCTTGAAAAAAGTGGATCACTGGTTGCCATGTTATTTCCCTGCCTTATCACACATTCCAATGAGCTCCTCCAATGAAATTTTCCTTTCTACTTCATCCAGTAAGACCCTCAGTGACTTGACCACACCTAATTCTTATCTCCTCTCATTGCACTCTCCTGGCTTGATGCTCTTTACCCATACAGAGTTTCTTTTCTTTTTTCTTCAGACATACCAGTCTTATTCTCGTCACAGACCTTGTCCAGTAACTCTTTTCTCTGCCTTGAAAAATCCATCAGCTAGTTTTCTTTGTAAGGCTGGATTCTTCCATGACCACAATCATCTAAAGGCCCCTTCTTCAGAAAAGAGCAGTGTCACCTCTCCATTCACTCTCCTTCTCAATCTCTCGTTCTATTTTTTATCACTATCTAAAATGGCCTTGTTTGTTTATCTGCCTCATATCTCTCCTTCCCCCCCTTAGAATGTAATCTCCCAAGAGAAAAGAACCTTTTTCTTTTTCACTGTTATGTCTCAGTGCCTAGAACAGTGCCTGCCATAACAAATATTTGTCAATGACAGATTAAATTTGTCCACTTACGTCTTTTCATACCTATTATTTCTTCTTATTCCCACAATACATCTGTGAGAGCAGATTGATGTTACTAAGCATTTTCAGACAAAGGTGACCATTCAGCTATCCCCTGTCTCTGTGGGGGTGGTAGAGGGATGTTTTCTCAGAGAAAAAACACACAAGTGGTGGCATTTGCCTTGAGTTAATCTATCTACATTTATTTATACTCATCATGCCACATTCCAGGGGGGATTTCAGACAGCTGACATGACTGTGTGAGTCTGGCCTGCAGGTGGTTGGGTCCCGACTGTCACTTCATGGAAGCCAACAAAGCAGCTTCACTCTCATTGTTCTGAACCAGTAGTAGCTTTGGTCACCTGGAAGAAATATGCCAGCTGGAGGGTGGCTTGGGTGTTGCAATATCAAGAGAATGTTTCAGAGGAAGAATACTAAGGGGATTCTTCTCAAGACCCATTTCTTCAGAGTCAGAGCTCAGTAAAGAAAAATGCCAAGATTCTGTTAGCCTGTTTTGATAGAGAAGCTACTACTTCCGTGGTTGGTACAAGAGTGACGTGTGAAGATGGCTTCCTCCAGTTTCAGTCTGATTGGACTCAAAACCTAATTCTGCTAGGTGACTGTGGGAACAATGATACCTCAGGAAATGCTGTGATGCTGAGCTGAGCACTCAGCGCCAACTCAAGGAATTTATCAACATGTCCAACTAACTCAAGTTACTTTCCTTCCCTTACCATCCTCCTGACACAAAGGAAGTTAAGGTTTGTGTGTTCTTAGGTTCCCTTCAAAATTCAACTACAGGTTTAAGGCAATTCCACACAAAATCCCACCAAGGGCTTTCTTTTGCAGACATAGATAAGCTCCTTCTAGAATCTACATGGAAAGGGACTAGGTGAAATTGAAACAATTGAGAAAAAGAACAAAGACAGAAGGCTTTTGTTTTTCTTTTTTCTCAATTATGTTTATTGACATAGCGTTGGTTTACAATACTGCATTGCCTCAATTCTCTACAAATGTCTATTTTCACACCACATCCATCACAAAAGCCCAATAACCCTCTAAACCAAGCTCCCCTGGGCCTCCATGCTCCTACTCTTCCACTCTATCCTGATTGCCTCAATTTCTCAGTCAGACGGAGGGCCTTTTCCCCCATCCCCAAGATTTGAAGACTTACAGTTACTGAAGCAAGATAATGTGACAGAGGTTAGATACAAAGATCAGTAGAACAGAATAGAGAATTGAGAAAAAGAGCCAAGTATGCACTCAAATTTTGGTAAAGGTGCCAAATCAGTTCAAAGAGGAAATTGAACTTTTCCATAATAGTTGATAGAACAGTGGACATCCACAGCCAAGAAAGGCTTGACTAAAAAAAAAACCTCATACCTTATATAAAAGCTAATGCAAAGGGATCATGGATTTAATTGCAAAACATAAAACATGTAGAAAAATAGAAGTATCTGGCAGAGTTCTGAAAGAACAGTCTATAAAAAAATAGCTGATAAAAATTACCTCACCAAAACTTAAAACTCTGTGCTATGAAAATTTTTGATAAGCAAATAGAGATGAACTATAAATGGCAAAAATGTTTACAAACTACTTATGTGACGAAAGTACTTACATCCAGAATACAGAAAGCAGTCAAAATTCAGTAGCAAAGAAGAAATCAAATTAGAATAGGGGTGAAGAGAATGAGGGAATGAACAGCTATTTCATGGAAGAGGATCTACAGGTGGCAAATTAGCACATGAAAAGATACGCACATTAGAGCCACAGTAAGATATCACTCCATGCTATCAGGCTGGTGAAAATTACAAATAGTGATGATACCAAATGATGCAGAGAAAATGGATCACTCATACCGCTGGTGGGAATGTTAGGCAACACACACTCTGGAAAACCGCTTGGCACTTTCTTATGTAAGTCAACATGTGCTTGGCACACTAACTCAACAATTCGCTTTTAGGGATTTAGCTAGGGAAACCAAAAGCAGGTAACATGAATGTTCACAGCGTCATTATTCATGAGGGTCCAAAGCTAGACATGACCTACAAGTCTTTCACCAAGTGAATGATTAAGCAAACTGTCCTACCTGCGTATCAGGGATTACTTCTCAGCAATAAGCACATGAAAGATGTTCAAAAACAACTAAAGGAATGGTCTACTGATGCACACAGCACCTTTGACAGGCCTTGGGGAAACTATGATGGATGAAAGAAGCTGTTCTCAAAAGCTTACCATATAATCCCTCTGAACTAAATTATAAAAATGAAGAACAGATCGGGGGTTACTAGGGGTTAGGGAGTGACAGGGTGATTTGGGAATCGCGCAACATGCACTATTCTACCACTTGCTGGTTTCACATACTGGTATGTTAGGAACACTTTTCCAGTGAATACACAGAGGTTTCATTTTTCCAATTTTCTCTATATGTTGTTTTTGCGTTATCTGGCCAATGTTACAGGGAATAATGACTTCAAACTTACCCCACTGTCTGCGGTGAGAAGACCAGAGGGTACTGAAGTGCCGTGCAGCCAACAGCAGCAGGCGAGGCTTTGTTCACAATGAGCTTGGTCAGAATGGCCAGAGCTTCATCTTGAACTGTTCTGTCATCGACTGAGAAGCAACTCTCAATATACAAGAGAAAGCTGGGTAGAAAAAGCTAAAAATAAGAGAGGAATCACGTTTACTAACAGGTAAAAATTTCAGAAGAGCTAATGAAGAGACTATTTTAAGACTTCCAAGAGGGAAAAAAAAAGCATCATAAACAAAACATCAGGAATCAAAAGCAGCAGGAGCCAGCTCCATAGGAACGATGCAACAATGCCTTCTAAACTGTGCAGGAGGGGCCTCCTTCGTGGCCCAGGGGTTAAGTTTCAGCCTATCAGTGCTGTGGCCTGAGTTTGATTCCCACCAGGGAGCTGACCCAAACCCACATATGGCGCATATCTCTCCTGTGTGGCCCGCTGCTCCCTTGAGCAGCATATTTCAGTAAACCCATTTGCTCTGCCCCCACTGTCTCCAGTGAATCCTCCTATCCCCTGTGTCTCTGACCTACACCCCTACTCTTAAATGCAACAAACAAACAAAAAACACCAAAAGTGCAGAGAAGAGCAAATCTGGATTTTTATACCCAATGTACCAGCAATGTAGCATTAGGAGTGTATAGACTGGTTCCGAAGTACTGACTCTTGAAATTTCACTTTCATTTTTTCCTTTCTTAGGAATCTCTAGGGACTGTCTTTTATCAAAATAAGACAGTAAAGTCTACTGAGAACAAGACAGGATAAAAAAAACAGGAGAAAAGTGAAAGGAAATCCTATTATGACATCTGTGCAGTGGGCTGAGAAAGCAACACAGTCAGACTTGAATTGTTCCAGAAAAATGTTTCCAAGAAAAAAACCCCTGAATTGCCAAAGTACCTGGCAAGTGGTCACTGAGAGGCACTTTACAGTGCTGCTGAAAGACAGACTCATTGACTAGCTAGCTATACAAAGAAAACAATTTGGGATTCTTAAAGAATGAGGTAATTAGTAATCTTGGAGAAAATGAGAAGATATATTTTAAAAAAGGAAATCTAAGTATAGAAACACTCCTTATTTTTAGATGTATTTTTTTAAAAGATTTATTTATTTATGCATACGAAACTGAGGTACAGGCCACAAGTGCAGGGGTGGTGAGAGGATTCACCAGAGACAGAGTGGGCAGCAGAACAGTCCGAGTGCTGAGGGGAGCAGCAGGCGGGTCAGGAGAGGTCTGCTGCACCATGTGGTCACCTCCGGGGCGGGAATTGAACTCATGCTGAAGTGGCTTTAGCTTCTTAGTGCTGTGCTTTCACCTGCTGCGCCACCAGGAAGGGCCCAGCACTCCTTATTTACAAGGATCAAGTATATGGCGAATATGAATGCAACCAAAATTTGTTATGTGACACAAACCAAAACTTGTGAAGAGAAGTGTCAAAGAATGAAATCACCCACCAGGGGAAGTCTATGGGTGAGAACTAAAACTAATGAATCAAGGAAGGGTAAAATATCCCAATAACTTATATGTAAGAAGTATGCCACAGAAATAGCTAAATATATTTAGATGAAGGTAGTTTTCTGTAAGCAAGATGGGAATGGAAAGCAAGTGACTGACTCTGGCTGTGTTTGACTTTTTAAAACTACATGCATGGAGCATACTGATAAAAATAAGATTTTTTAAAAAGACCAAAGGGAATAGGAGAGAAGGAAAAGATGCAACAGCTAAGAAAAACAGAGAGACTCGAAGACCCCCACAGGGCAGGAAGGAAGGTCAAGTTCACATACAAAGAAGCTTTTCTGAGACAAGTGAGAATATATGTTACGAAAGACTAAAAAGAAGAAAAGAGAAGAGCTACACAACAGGTTTCCAGGCAGAGTACTGCAGGATTACTAGCTGGAAGAAGTGGCAAATGTTTGATGGGGCTAGGGAGAAATTATAAAATAAACTCCGGATTTGATGAGCAAGGTTTCTACTTCATTCCATCAAATACCTGTTTTATAAAATGAATTTGCAAGCTTCTTCCAGTGCAAACTATTTCAAATTCACACAAAAGTTCCCTAAACGTTTTCTTTTTTTTTTTTTTCAATTTTAACACATGGCTCTATAACTTCTTAAAGGATTACTAAAGAGCCAGTTAATTATTTAATATCATGTTAAGACCTTATTATGACTAAACTTTCACCTATAAGCTAGAGTTGGAATATATAGCTTTAAAGTAACATGGATTAAAACATCCAATGTGTTTGTTTCTCTCCAAAAAAAAAAAAAAATGGATTTTAAGGATGATTATTTTACCATGACAAAAATCAAAACTTAATAGCTTACTCACCTGCTCAAACTGCTTCATGGTAAACATGCCTTCAGAAAAATCCAAGATTAAGTGCCTTTCAAAACTGCTGTCAAAAATCTGTAGACCACAGATTAAAAAAATAAAAAAAAAAACATCTTAAGTACACAGTGAGGACTTTCCCCATTCCTGGAGATGAAACATAGCCCAAACCTTGCAGTCTTCTTCAGTGCAAGCAGAAGTTTAATACAGGCAAGCCGATGGCTGAATTGCCGGCGCGTGCACAGGGACACACGCAGGGGGAGACAGGCACAGGAGCACAGCAGGGAAAGGTGGGTGCAACAGCCCCCCTCTGCCCACAGGGGCGCACACATGGTGGGCCATGTGCGCCCGATGCTGCTCGGAGCTCTGCCCAGCTCCTTCCCAGCTACACAGCATCACAAAGGGCCGGCAGGGCCCTTTCACACCTTCCTTTATGCTTTATCGCCCTGCGGGAAGGAAGCTGGCAAGAACCTAAGGGATCTTCTGTTTCCACCCCCACTTCTCTCCATTTCATTTTCTAGATTCAATGTAAATCTCATCAAGTCATTTTCCTTCATAAATTTCTTTCCAGGACCTCCCACTACTTGCAGAAGCACATCCTACCCAACCTCCCAAGGCCACGCAGAAGCTGGCTGGTACGTATCACACGTCCTCACTCGTCCATGTACCAGCACTGTGCATTTTTAAATGGACTATGTGATTACACACTCCTAGGCCTTTAGCCCCTCTCTGACAGGCGGTTTGCTACTTAAGCTATTTAAAAGTATTCTCTGTCCTTCAACCCCAGGAAGAATTAATCATTATGTTCAATATAGTATTAACAGAATAAGCTATAAGTGCTCCCTCCACAGGTCCCACTACCCTAGCAATCAAAACCACAGGAACGATTTTGTCCACTGGGGAAGACCTAGGCCATTCCCAGTATGTGGTAAGTGAGATATGTTAGCTGAATATTTACTGAACAGAATTCCCTTATCACAGTTTTGTTCACTTCTGTCAGACCTCAAGATTACCAACTCCCTGAAGGGAAAGCCTTTGATATACTTCATCTGTATTCCCCAGGAGGCTTATTCAACATTTGGTGAAATAAATTACCTTTTCAATGGTTTCTCTGATGAGGGTCTCTGGCAAGGAAACATTTTCACCTAGCATCAAAGCAGAAATTACATCCAAGAGGGTCTGCCGGCAAGATGTGGAGAGATGGGCTACCTGGAATGACTGAGACAGTACCTGCACAATGAAAGAAAAAGCAAAGCACACTTAGCAATCAGCTTTTAGTGGACAGACTCCAAGGAAATTACCTTGGGAACTCACCTTACAAACACCAACAGGTTTGGTTATCTTCGATCCATTTCCATGTTTCACAAGAATTAGGTATGTTTCCAACAACCTTTTTACCTGTTCAGAACTTTCACCAGAGTTAGTCTGGGTTACTTTTGTATGTAGAGCCAGGAGTGATTCCTGCAAATGAGAAAATTGAATGGAGGGGATAACTATAAAGTATCAAATTCATCAAATGTAAAAACGAAGAGAGTATATGAAGCAGTTCAAATTTTCATTCTTCAGCTTTGAACAATAAAAATGCATTTACTGGCTCCTGGTCACTAGTGATAGTAACAGCTGATATTTCTGACAACACTTTTCTCAGCCCTTAAGTATTAACCTACCATCCTCATAGCAACCCAGTATTATTACTTCCACTTACTAGATGAAAAGTATGAAGATTAGAGGTTTAAAGTATATTTCCAAGTCACACTAGCACTAAGTGAGAAAGCCAATGTTCAAACAAAGCAGGCTGGCTACAAAGCCTACGCTCTACACAGCTCAAAGTCATCAAATCAAAGTATTGAATGGGATAAGAGAAGGAAAGTCCTAATACGTATGTACAAATATAAATAAAACAATTATAAAATACAACACACAGGAGCAGTCTATTAAACTATCAATGATAATCAACTCCTTTTTACATACAAACCCTTGAAAATTAAAACTTACTTGCAAACATTCAAAAAATATACCAAAATGCTCCTTGTAGATGTAGGATGCAGTAGATCTGACCATAGTTTTGAGTGTTTCTCCAATTAAAATCCAAGGTAGTTGAGCCTCTGTTTCAGTAATTGGTCCTAATTTTTGCAAAATTAGCTTCACTGCCTATGGGAATCCAAGAATCATGAAAATGAAGACATAAATTCATTTAAAAGTATTAACTGCTACCTTCCACTTTAATTACTCCACACTGCGCTTATTTATCTTAACTAAATATGACCACTTTGGTGGTGAAGTATGTATGTATGTATGTCCCAAAAGAAATTTCCAAGCTACTTTGTATTGTACATAGCCCATGTCCTGTTCATTAATCAATTTCTGTTATTTCTAGGATCCCACAAGGAAGAACAAGGATACTAGAAGTAAAAACAGTCACCAAGAGCCCCAGGTAAGCTCTGTTATTAAAGCTGTAATGGTTCCCATTCAGTGTTTTCTACTTATTCTAGGCTTTAAGTCTTTCCATATCATTTCCATATATCTTACATGTTTTCTTTTTAATCCCTTTCACATAGACTCAAAACATTCCTCCTGGTTATTTACCGTTCCTGTGCAGGAGTGAAACATATTCCGAACTCCCTTGCACATTTCAAAGAGCAACTGTCCAACTCCTTCCACCTTTTCTGGATGTTCATCAAGATCAAGAAACATTAAATTGAAAAGTGCATTTTTATCAGAAACCTGAAACACAAAAAAAATGCAAAGGGAAACTGTATTTACAACCTAAACACATCTAAATGAAGAAATGTTATCTGCTCTTCTGTATCTTCATATTAAAACATAATTAAGACAAATTCTGATTCCTACGAATCTCACTGTTTCCTGACTTGACCTAGAGGGCACTTTTGGTATATATACACTGAACCAAAAACCTAAATCAAATAAAATGGCTCAAATTATTTCACATCAGTGAGCAAAGACAACCTTATGTGAGATAAATTCAAAAGGTCTACACACATACACACACACAGTATTAGTACATATTAACCATATCATAAAAGATGTTTCTGTTCATTAGACTTTGAGACTTAATGAGCAACAAATATGTAAAATATCAGACTAACTGGGGCCCTCCCTGGTGGCGCAGCAGGTTAAAGCACAGCACTGAGAAGCTAAAGCCACTTCCGCATGAGTTCCATTCCCGCCTGCCCCAGAGGTAACCACATGGTGTGGCAGACCTCTCCTGACCCGCCGGCTGCTCCCCTCAGCAGTGTACTTCGTCGATCTGCCTGTTCTGCTCCCGACTCTGTCTCTGGTGAAGCCTCTCTCCACTCCTGAGCCTCTGTCCTGTACCCCAGTTCTGTATGTACAAATAAATAAATCTTTAAAAAAAAAAAAAATCAGACTAACCTTTCTCATCAAAAAAGTAAAGCTTTCAGCAGCAAAATTTCTTATATGTAATTTTTTATGAGCCAGGAGTGTGCTGTACATGCTAAAAATAAGAAAATAAGACGTGGAGTTAATGATAATCTTAGATACACTACACACCCAACTCTATGTTCACCACCTTGCTGTGGAAGCAAAGAATACACAGGAGGTGTGACACCAGCAGGTTAAGGCCTCATTTGATTAGCAAGAACCCACATGGTGAGTAGAAGACGGAAGGTCACAGAAATTAATCAATGCTGATGACTTTACAGTAAAGAATACGACATATATACTTTATATGTGAGAAGTTGAAATATGCAGTGAGTCATGGAGGACAGGAATGATTTAAGGTAGGTTAGGGTCAAGAGGTAACAAGGAGACTGCATCCAGTCTAAGAGAGGAAGGCCGATGTGTGTTGGGAAGGCAACCACAGGCAGGTGTGCAGGGTAAGCAGGGGGCTGTGACTACCAAGCAGGGAGACACGACTTTAGATCCCCGGAGAGATTTGCTCCAGCCTCCTCCCCTACACAGCCCAACAGGGGTAGGGACTTTTGTTCCCACTTGCCTGAAGTTGAGGCAGAAAGACTAAGCAACCTGCTTGAGGTCATACAGCTGAAAATAAACATCTCTTGGAGACGTGCACGGTTACAAGTGGTCTCCCTAATGATAGGAAAGCATGGAGTACCATCTCTGTTTTTGCTCTGTCCCCAGTACTTAATAATTCCTTGCTCACTGAAGGTACTAATAAATATTGGTAGGGTAAGAAATAAATATTTAAGATTAATTTCACAGCAGTACCTAGGGTAAAGTAAAGGAAGAATGTGGCAGCCCGACTAGAAAACTGCTCAAATCATGGAAATTTGGGTAAACAAGGATGTAGAGATGGCTAATGAAGACAGAAAGGCAAAGGGAAAATCCAAGAGACATTTCAATGGTCCCTGCAATGGCATGAAAAGCCTTGCGGCACCTAAGGCCCTTGGTGATCAACTGGTCCTCCTGCTGCCACGTCCCTGCCGCCACCAAATTCCTCTTCCATTACACACACTTACCCCACCACCCAGGCCTCCCTGCTGTTCCTCACACGCGCAGGGCACACGATCAAGATGTCTTCCCACCACAAAAATGCAAATGGCAAAAAAACAAGATGTTTATCTGCTTTGTGACTGTGTCTTAAGTGCCTGACACACCACATTCCATGAATATCCACAAAACCAAAAGCGAATGTGAGTAACAGAATCAAGAGAATTTGGAGTCCTTAAAGACATCTGAGTCAAAGGTGGCTCAGGTGTCAAGAAAGATGGTGTCACTGTCAGAAACTGGACAACCAACCAGGGTCGGACAGTGAGGACATTTTCTGAACACATGAATGACTGGGAAGAGTTCATTTGAATGGGGAGGTGTTGCTTCTGGCTTCAATAAGGCTCAAGTGAAAACCCCTACAAGGTAATACTAGTTTTTAATATGTTCCATCTAAAACTTCATAGAGAACTTAGTAAAGGCTGGAAAAATGTCCCGTTTCTTTACTGAAATAGGGTGATGTAAAGAGTGGGACAAAGGAGAATAGGGGGATGGGAAGGTGGAAAGTAAACAATAAACAAAACCTAGTCTTACATCATACCCACACCTTGGGGGCTGAGGGGCAGGGTAAAGAGCAGTCATACATATTCCTGTGATAAATGAAGTATGTAGATATAATCAAGACACCAAATAAAGTCCAAGGTTAAAAGACTACAAAAATCTTTCCCTACTTTAAACAAAGAGTTACTATGGAATTCATTCTCTTTGCCTGTCTAAATTTTGTTTAAAAATATTGTATCTTTCATTTTAATAAGTATGTATGTATCAGGGAAATACAGATATTAAAGATGGGATTCTTCAAAAGTTTACATGTTTGTAGAAGGCACCTTTATGTTAAGAACAAACAATTAGAAAACAAGCTGTGTCACATAAACTGGTCAAATACCAGAGGGGTTCAGAGTATAAAGCTTTCACTTTTGGTCAAGGTACTAGGGGGTATTTGTAGAGGTTCTAGAATCAAACCAGGTCTTGACAGTGGGGGATATGCTTTCAACAGTTGAAGATCAGAGAAGGTTAAGTCAGTGCAGACTGGTGTAGTAGACAGTTGATCATTTTTGCCAGAGAACCCAACTTCCCAGGACTGTTCTGGGAATGTAGTTTGGAGTCAGAAGCCAGAGAAAAGGCAATTCAAGCTTACATTAGCACCAAAGAGTCAGGTTTGCAAGGAAGAGGGACCAGTGTTACAAGTCTTGTAACTAAATGCACTGTGGGAGTCAGAAATTCTCTCCTGCTTGTCAAATAGCAAAGCTGCCCCCCAAATAGCAAATTATAAAACTGAAATGCTCAAAAAAATCACTACTGAACAGGCCCATTTTATTTAGAGGTCTCAAGTACACAAGTGTCAGCAGGAATCTTGAATATACTGAATATATGTGCACATTGCTTTCACTCTCAAAACTGATAATGAAGGAAAGCAGGATTGACTGTGAAGGAGGTCATGATAAATCTTTTGGAGACAAAGGAAATGTTCATAAACTGGTGTGGTGATGGTTGCACAACTTTCTAAATGTACTCAACAGCATTAAATCATAAAGTTTCAAAGAAAAGCAATTCATCCACACTAGAGCAAAAAAGGGTTACCTGTATATACTGGCCATGTCCTTCACCATCAGTCGCCACAGGTATTTGTAAAGATAGGACAGTGAGGTGAAAGCCCACTCTAACAACTCTGTGTTCTGAGTCTCCAAGATTGAGGTGATGGTCAGGAAAAAATCCTGAAAATGCGGATAGAAATCTGTCTGGAGATCTCTAGCCAACTGCACAACCAAGCTGGATTAAAAATAAGCAGAAATTAAGCAGATTCTAAGATACGTAGGAATTTTTTTTAAAAAGACTGCAAATCTATTTCATAAATGAGAGTAGATCACTTTTGATCACAGGATTAAACTTTCCAAACCAGTGTTGAGAGGTATTAAATTTTCACATTTAAAGACTTCAGCTAAGACTATCAGACTAAAACAAGAAGGTCCTCTCCATCACAAGTTATGGTCAACCATTTCTACAGAGAAACTGGGTTCTCTTAAAAGCATAAAATGAAAGCAAAAAAAAAGTACCCCCCTAAAGTTATGCTTTATCATAATACCAAATATTCTGCTCTACCCAAAAGGTAAATTCTTGACTGAAAATTACAAACACCAGACCTGAGGTGAATGTGGCTATAAATTCAGATACATGTCATTAAACTTTCTTTCAACATTCTACTTACTCCAAAAGTGGCTGATAGGCAAAACTGTTCTTGATTTGCAGGTGAGTTTTCAAACTTTGAGCGATCTCATTTTGATGATAGACCAACTGATTGAATGACTGGCATTTGTCAATAACTTCTTTGTAAAATTTCCCTGAGTTTAAAAAAGAAAAAATGTTCTACTTTTCTATCTATAACTACTTAGTTGTTTGAACAGATAAAACGTAAATGACAAATAAATAGAATAGAAACAAAATTAGGAAATACCAAAGTGTTCGGTAAGGTTCAATTCTCTCCATTTCAGTAGACCCTCAAAAAAGTAAGTTTCAACTTCCTGTCAAGATAAAAAGCAGTGCATTAATGCCAGTCCACTAATTAGAGAACTCAAAGTAAAACCACAAACAAAATAAATAAGAATAATGTTATCTTAACACAATGATGATAATCAACCGTTTAAAAATGGACTTTTTATAAGGGCTTTAAATAAGCAGGCTTTAAAAAAATATCAGAAGTACAATATATACAAATGATTAAAATAAAATGTTTTTGTTGATTTGGTACAAGAGATAATTCTTTATACTCATATAACAGTCACACCAAGGAAGAAAACCTTTTTCTGTATTATTGCTATAATCTGGTGGGGAAGTTTACATGCACTTTTGTTAAAGCTAAAAATTGCTTGGCAGGCCCTCGTTGCTGGTGCAACAGGTTAAAGCACCGCACTATGAAGCTGTCCACAGCCACTGCAGCACGAGTTCAACCCCTGGCCAGGGAAGTGACCCACGTGGCATGGCAGGCCTCTCCTGACCTATTCTCACAGCTGCCTGTTCATCTTCCTGTTCTGCTCCCCACTCTGTCTCTGATGAATCCTCTCACTGCTCCTGCTGCTCTGACCTGTACCCCAGTTCTTGTATGCATAAATAAATAAATCTTTAAAAAAAATTTCTTGGACTAAGCAATTTCCATTTTGGAAACATTTCTTTAAAAATCTGCAAACATACAAGTTTAAAAATGTTTACTCAAATTTATTGTACATAAAACAGATGACAGGAAACTGGTATAACTAGAGTATATTACATGGTCATTAAAACATATCTCTGATGAATGAGGCTATAGGCCCTCAAAGTGGTGAAAGTCTTTTTTAAAAGACCTCTTTGTTTGCACAATTTTGCATGAAAAAAAAAAAAAACACATACACCAAACTCTCAATATTGTTCTCCTAGGCAAAAAAATAAAGATTTTTTTGCATTCACCACCATAGTGTTTAGGTTGTTAACACAGTATACAAAGTACTTTGAAGGTCAAACCAGTACGTTACTACCCTCCATGTATGTGTACAGTGAACAAGCAAAAGCAGGTGAGAACAAATACATACTGAAGCACATGGACAAAGAGTATGCAAATGTTTAGTCTTAAGAAAAGAAATCCTTACATTGTGTTTTGTTTAAAAAATAAACATGAAAGAAAACCAACAGGTAGACAGACTAGAAAGGAAGAAAGGGGATCCTTTGAGTCTGGGGAAGTGGCATGAGGCAGTCACCCGGGGAGACTATGTCCCCTGTCCTTTGCCACATGACTTGCATCTCTACGCTACAGAGAGGGAGTCTCTTTCCTCACCCCTTGAAACTGGCCAGCATCACAACTTCTTTATTATCTAGTTCTACTGCTCCAACATCTCTGGAATTTTTTCTCCTTTCTCTGTCTTCACTGTTGCTACTATACTTAGACAACAGTCAGATCCATGAAATGATTGCCCTGTCCTGTTCTTTCCTCCCCTCTATATTACAGAGGTCTAAAAGTTAAGCCTGATCATGTCACCTATTCCCTGCCTTACAGTCTTAGAAAGATACCCTATAGCTTCAGGGAAAAAAAAAAAAATAATTAGCTTGATATATGAAGCCCTTTATGATCCCTGATGATTTCTTCAGCAGCTTCTTGAGTGTGGTATGCATTCTTTAACTTCTGTTCTATGACACTGATTTCTGCCTTAGTTAGAAAAATCCTTTCCTGTCCTCTATGTCATGCTAAAGCCTTTATGAACAGCAAGATTGAACTCAGGTATTGCCTTGTTTATATCCCTTGTTTGACAATCCACCTTACTCCCCAAAGAATTTAGGTTAGGTTTCATCAATGTGTTCCCAAGGCATTATATTCTTACTTAGGTAATACCATTTAATATGCTGAATTCACACAGTAAGAAAATGCATGCAAAGAGACATGAACAGAGTGTGACTGGAGCCAAGTGAACAATAATTAAGAACTGAGGTCAACCCCTAAATTAAAGGTGTACTATCTAGGACCTTAGAAGGCTAGCAGAGAAATAACTTGATGCAGATTTTAAAGTAGAGGTTTGAATGAATTAGATGGGGATTAGAATTGAAAAAAAGATACATATAGTCTAGCCCCTTTCTCTTTATAGAGGAAACCACACCTGAGAAAGGTGACTTTCTTAATATTTCTATAAAATTGCCACCTAAAAGTAATAAATAAAATTGCAGCTTAAGAAATATGTATGTGTACCAGTGCTTGGGACTAGACATGGGAAAGAGAGAAGATAGAATCACAGAAGCCCAGCTGAGTGTCAACTTAATTGTCTAACACAGCATCGTTCAACATATCTACAGTGATGGAAATTTTCCATATCTGCACTTGTCCAATATGACAGCAATAAGTGACATATGGCTCCTTGGTGCTTGGATTTTTTTTTTTTTTAAAGATTTATTTATTTGTGCATACAGAACTGGGGTACAGGCCAGAGGCTCAGGGGCGGTGAGAGGCTTCACCAGAGACAGAGTGGGGAACAGAACAGGCAGATCGACGAAGTACACTGCTGAGGGGAGCAGCGGGCGGGTCAGGAGAGGTCTGCCACGCCATGTGGTCACCTCCGGGGCAGGCGGGAATCGAACTCATGCAGAAGCGGCTTTAGATTCTCAGTGCTGTGCTTTAACTCGCTGCGCCACTAGGGAGGGCCCGGTGCTTGGATTTTTAATCTACTCTAATTTATTTCTAATTTGTCATATGTGGCTACTGTATTAAATAATCTAATGCATTTCATGTTCAGAAAGGAATAACTTGAAAAACATTTCACTTCTACTAAAGGAGACAAAAAAAGAAAGAAAGAAAAAGAAAGCCCTAACTATGAATACTTGAAAATAGGCTAATATAAGATTCTCTTACCTCATCATAGCTTGCAGTTCTGTCAATCCGGTGAATAATATCGATATTCACATTCCCTAGTCGTTCTGCAAATGTAAGAAACTGGGGGAAGGAGAAGTGAGACGTTTAAGATGTGTTGTCATTAATACTCATCTTATCTTAAATGTTTGTTATATAATAATCTCATGTGTCTTTTCCTTGAGATAGTGGAACGTTTAAAGCTTCACTAAGCCCCCTCATGTGTTGTCATTATGCATAACAGTATGTTTCACTTGCAATTACAGATTAGTAATCATAACACTGAATTTTGAAACAAGTTATTTTCAGTTATGGCATCAAATTTCCAAGCTGGTTAGATAGACTTAGAGCTAGGCAGGCGAGGTGGCATTTCACACCGGCCCACCTACACCCCCAACAAGCACAGAGACCAGTCCAAGTCGTTGCAACAATAGTATTTTAAACACATAATGAACTACTACTGTGTAGTAAATGAAGTAACTCTCAAACCTTTAAGGGGTAAACATAAAGTAACTCAGTAGCCCTGAACATAAAATCAACTCCCTTCTGCCGACAACCCCTCCCTCCCTCGATTCCGCAGAAGAGCAGGGGAGAACACTCCGTAAGCAATTAGCCTATAATCAATCAGTTAACTCTAGATGGAAGGAAATTCCCAGGCAGGCCGGGCCCCACCAAGAACAAAATCTGCCACCCGGACTCCTTTCCCCACCTCATGTTTACTATTCCCGGAGAGTATCCCACTTTTGACAGTCTCCAGAGAAGCGATTTACACTCCGCCCAAACCACTACGCCCCCTGAGCGCTGTTCAGAGTCAGTTCCACCGCTGAGACCAGGAATCCACGTTTTTGGCTCAAGCTTCTTCGCTTACCCGGTGCGTGTTCTCGGTCTTGTGGGAAACGGGCTTTGTCTTCATGGCTACAGAGGGGGAGCGGCCGCGAGGGCCTCGCGACGGGTCGGAAGGTTGCAACTGATTGTAAGTAAGGGAAAGTGGCTCACACTCTAGTACTCTCCGACTCCCAGGTGCGGAGACTCTCACGTGCGGCGAGAGCCCCTGGGCGCCGCCATGTTGGAGGCGGGGAGGAGCCTGAGCCGGTCACGTGAGCGGAAGGAGCGGAAGGAGCAGGCGCACCCCCTCCCGGCTGCCTCCGGGTGGGGAAAGGCTGCGGCGCAGGAAGGTGGGCGTGGACTGGGTGTTTTTCTTAGTAAAGTCAGAAAAATGTGTATTTTTACCATAAAGGAAAACCAGCTAGCAGCCATTGCCCCCGCTGTGTGCGCTGACCGCAGAACTCTTTACCGCAATACTTCTCACCGTAAAGCGCGCTGTGAACACTCTAAGTATATATATATATATATTTTTTTTTGTTATTTTATAACAGTTTATTTTTACATCATTTTGTACATTTTTTTCCCCATCTCAATTGTAATCCCCGCGGGTTTCCCATCACCAAGTCATCCGTGTGCCATCACCATAATCCCGTGCACTTCCCTCCCCACCCCCCGTTTTTGATCCCATTCCCCACTCCACCCCCGCAAAATGTCTCTGGTATATGGTTTGTGAAGTATATATTTTAATCTCGTTTTGAAAGTTGGGGGGGCGGTCCCTAGGAAAAGAGGAGGTGCCGGGCTCCCTGCCCCACCCAAGGGAGGGTGGAGCTGAGCAGGGAGGAGAGGAATCTGGAGTGGAGACTGAGCAGGAAGGAAGCAGGATGGAGAACCAAAGGGAGACCTGAGGAGGCTCAGGGAGCAGAGAGACGTGAAGAAGCGGCTCTTGTTTCATGGCTTGGACTGGGTGACACAGATGTGGGCCAGAGACCCGTGCGGAGGTTCTCGAAGGCAGCGTTTATCTTAGCTTTGATTTTGCTTTTTTCCTCCCAGGCTTGTCTAGCCCCTTCTGACCATTTTCCTGGCTGGAAGGTCAGTTAGACCTGTGGCAGCTTTCAGGCCTTGCTTTGGGCCAGTTCCATTTGGGTGGACTTTTACCCACGAGGGGCTGGGTGACTTTGGATGTTTGATTTAGAAACTATATTCTTTGTCTTTTCTGTATTGCATGTTTTGTCTTGATATGGTAGATGGAAGAACCTATTTAGAGCAGGCAGGTTTGGGGGGCCCAGGGTTGCCCCTTGCACTGCCCTGTAAGTTTGTGATGAAAGGAAAAACAAGGACGTGGCAGTTTGACAGAGCTATATCTGATATTCTTAACCACTATGTTTTAAATAAAATAGAATCATTACAAAGGCATTATAATGAAAACTCTTAATTTCTGCACAACTTCAAAAGCACTGTTTTTGCTATTACTCTGTCAGTTAGCCAAATAAATTGTACATACAGTTGTGTGTATAGTAGTTATATGACATATGTATATTCATGATATTCCTCATTTGACAAATATTTTTATGGACTGTGTTCATAAACTTTTTCTGAGTTGAACAGGACAGATAATAATAGTGGTTCTGTTCGGATATTTAGTCTGAGGTGGTTACACTTAGATAGCTAAGCAAGATACTAAAGCAATTGAATACACTCCTGCCTAGAGGCTGGGGGAGGTGTCTTACATACATACTTAACTGCCGCCAAGTGTGATGTATTTAAGGCAGTGGAACTGGATGAGATCATTTATGGAGAGAGTGAGTAAAAGGCGGATCTTAGCTGAATCCTGGAGTGTGTTGACATTTAACCGTGAGTGACCAGGAAAATGGGCAAGAGAGCCAATGAGATAGAAGCCAGCTCATCTTGACACAGAACAGACTACTGATCTAAAAGCTGGAGATAGAGTAGTGGCTGCTGGATCAGACACAGTGTGGTCAGTGGTGTTCAGTGTAAAGGACAGGAGGCAAAATATGCAAATGTTTTCACTTCATTAGGAGGAGCCAGTTAAGGGATCAGAAAGAACAATAAAACAAAACTAGCAGGCATCTGGCTAAGAGACTTTATGTGATGGAAGGGGAGGAAAAGGGAGCAGGGCAGGGGAGAGAAGAGCACAGGGACTAGGGCTGTCGTTCATGGTTGAACTGGTGGTGGGAATTTTATGGGGAATACACCATGATGTAAAATACATAAATTTTAAAAAAAGAAAAAGCACCAGAATTTCATTAACCAAAAAATTTGGATCTGTGAAATCCAAAGTGAATCATAAATGGATGTGACTGTATCAGAACACTTGTTGAGGGGGGAATACTTATTTACCCAGTGAATCTTCACTGAGTGCCTCATATGTGTTAGGCACGAATCTAAGGACTGCAGACAAAGCAGAAAACCTTGCCTTTGATGGTCTCACATTCTAGTGCAGGGTGACCAAAATAAGTATATGACTTCCTAGACCATGATGACAATGAATGGATAGAAAGTAGGGTAGAAACTGTTCTCTGTTCTGCAGGCTTCGTTTTCCGTCCCATCTTTTAGAAAAAGTGCCCCCAGCTCAGGTTTTAGCTGGCAGTGTGACCTCTTCATTGTTGCCAAGTTCAGGCTGATATCAGTGGAAGTGTTTTGTGTAGTTCTCAATTCATTTACTGAAAAGGAATAGTAGTTGGTTTGCTCCTGCCTGTAAACTTGCCTTGGACCCATTTTTTCCCCTCTTTTTCCCTGGCTGGGATTGACTGGGGTATCCTTGGAAGCCAGCTATAGAAGATGACAGAGCTAGCTTTAGACTGCTTAACTCTTAACTGTTACATAAGAGGAAGATAAACTAACAAGCTATTTTGTTTTTTGGATTCTTTGTTATTACAGCTTAATTGGTACCTAATTCAGGGAGCATAGGGGCAAAATGGAGAAGGTTTGTTATTTGTGTACAGAAACCTGAAGGAAGGGAGGAAAGTTAGGAAGCATGGGACTATTTGTATAAAAAGATAATTCCAGAGTGAAAGGCAGCAAGTACAAAGTCCCAGAGGCAGGATTGAGCTCCTCTTTAGTCCAGGAGTCCAGCACCCTGGTACAGTGAGTAAGGAAGAGAGGAAGTGAGAGGAAGTGTTGGGGAGCAGATCACACAGTCTTTCAGACCATAGTACAAAAATGCTGAAACAACCTCTTAGCAAAGAGCTGAAGGAGTCCAAGGCAAGGATAGTGGAAGAGTCCATGAAATAGGAGGCTACCAGATGCTTTAGGCCCAGAGAAAGGAAGATTGCCCTCCTCTTCTGAAGCACATTTCAATTGATCTGTGCTTGTATTCACGGGGAATTCCAAAGACATAATGGTTTCAACATATATTCTTGGATGTATTCATACACTACATTCATAACCAATATTTTTTCTATATCAGGATCATGACTTTTCCAGAGATTTAGAGGAGTTTTTACCCAAAAGGTGGATAATATTCCACCAAGGAATAGCCAGAATCTTCCTTCGCATGAATGCCTCTGTCACAAGAGCTATGCAGTCACTTAATTATTAGAATCATCATTTCACAGACTAGAGAAGCCCAGAGTCTCACCCACAATGTCTCACCCATAATGACACAGTAAATGAACAGCAGAACAGGGACTAGTATCTTGGTGTCCTAACTTCCTTTCCAACATAATCGACTTCACTTTGTGTTAGGTAAAAATGGTGGTGTTAGATATTTCAAATCTCAAGATACTCTAGTAACATTTGAACTGGGTTTGGCTGGGGAATTCATTACTTTGTGTCAGCAACAGATTTTCTATCCTAATAATTTTTTTAAAGATTTATTTTTATTTATTTATACATACTAAGAACTAGAGTGTAGGGAAGAAGTGCAGGGGGTGAGAAGATTCACCAGGGACGGGGTGAGGACAGAACAGGCAGATCTATTGAAATACACTGCTAAGGGGAGCAGTGGGCAAAACATTTCCTGCACCAGTGATTCTTTAAGTAAAACAGTGAGCATGAAAAACTGCCCAGATTACAGATAATGTGGAGGGAGATAATTAGTATTAGTAAGGTTTCTTTATAAAGACTGGGAGGCTTTCAAAGTATTTACTATACATCATCTCTGATCCTTATAGCAGTCATGTGAGGTAAGCAGGTTAGATATTACCTGCGATATTATAGGTGAGGAAATAAAATAATCCCAGAGACAGGTGACTCAGCTCAGCTCATGCATCTTTAGTTGATGGTGCCAGATTTTCTAGTTCCAGTTCAAAGGACGTATTGCCACATGCATCCTCCCAGGAGATTAACAGCTGACACTTAAAAAGCTTTGCATATTATGACTCATTTACTTTTCCTACAAGGCAGATTGTATTATTTACATTTACTAATGGGAAATTGAGACCCAAAGAGACTTAAGAGACTTGCCCAAAGTCACATATCTTCATAAAGAAGTCAGAGCTGGGCCCCAAACATTTGTATACTGTATCCAGAATCTGTGCTGTTAGCCATTGCACTATGCTATTTCTCCAAGTAGAAGTTGGTGGAAACTTAATGATTCATTTAGTTCAAGGGCATACTTCAAGAGTCTTCAAGATCAAGTTCAGATAACTCGAAATTCCCATGAATATCACAAGCCCTTCCCTTTGATGTTTATGGCCACTTGGTCTGTTATCTACTTATATGATAGAAAGATATGATCAAAATTTGATTTTTAGAACATCGGGGTGCGGTGGAAGAAGCATCATTCATCATAAAACTTGACATCAACGTTGAAAAGGTTTTATAGGAGGAGTGAACCACCTGCTGTTCTGCAAAAGAATCAGTGATAAGAAGTTATCACTCTTTAAGCCATTGGTAATATGGAGAAATATAGAAGATATACTTGTTTCCCTTATCTCTTCTCTTGGTAGCACCACCTCAGTTTTCTTTTAGACAACCCTTCCCATCCTGCTCCTTTGCTTATTCCCGGTCCATGTGGTTTCAGTACCAACCCAACCTCTATCTCCAGGTTTAGATGCATGGTCCAGGTTGAGGCCCAGTGTAGCCACTTGAAAAAGACAAGTGGTTGGTTAAACAGTTGCCTTAGGGATTAATGGGAAACAATCCTCTTTCTACTTAAATAGACTATAAACTCCTTGAGGGATAATTATTTATACCAATGAAGCTAAAGCAGAAGCAAATAGAAGTGAGAGATGGAGAAAGAAAAGGGAGGAAAGGAAGACCTCTATGTAAGGGT